ATCAGCAAAGAACGCAGATCCCAACGCCTGCACTGAAGAAATGACAATGATGCCTCCCCACAAACAAGATTGGATCTGCTCGCCGTCTCGATGTGTTGCGCTATGTATTACTAGTAATACAAAGCGCATGCTAAAGACGTCTAATTCAGTAGCTGGCAAAGCTAGTCCTTCTGGCCCTGTCGATCTCTTCGCAATTCACGTCACATGAAGCACCGCCGCAAGATACTAGTAATACGACTTGACGATGGTCCCGTCGTACAAGGTATTAGATACCTGTAGTATCACGATTCGATCCGCTCTTTGTCTCTCAAAACTAAAAGATACGGGCTCACTCGCGTACAAGCTGCTGGAAATACGAAGTTGGTTCTCGGGGTCCATGACTTTGGCTGGGGCCTCAACTACATGTACCGTTGATAATCGGCGACCACGAACGAGTTGTGGCTGTAGGGGGCTTGACGACGGGAGAGAAACTCTTCAACGGCGGGGTCGTGATCGCCGCTCCCCTGGCTGTCTCGTATCCAGTGGTCTGTAGACTCTGCTTCACTACATCGCATCTAGTATCTCGTACTATCCGTGGGCATATCAAAAGGCATTGTGTTTCAGAGCCTCACAGATGGCCTCGCCTGCACCAATATCCAACTCCGAACAGAGCTCTAATACCTGACGGAAAGAATGCATAGCCGGCATTTGCTTTCCTGAGACTCTGCATATCAAGGGAGTCGTCCACAGAATGCATCTCATCACCATCGTCGGCTTTTTTCTCCCCTTCATCTTAGGTTTATCTACCTGTGATAACCGCAGTCTCGGAGTGGGTGTTGCACATGATACCTTGCGTAACACCATGCGATACATTGCTCTCTGCCTGCATGACCACCCAACAGAAACCTCAAGCTTAGGTACTTAGGTAGGTATGTGTATGTATCATCAGCAGCCGTTCCTACAACCACACCCCCCTGAGATCCCTGCCGGCTTCTTCCCAAACGGTACAGGTACTGCTTCCCGCGTATCAACACCTCCGTGTACATCCTGTCGATGCGAGGATCTCGTCTCTGCGACATTCACATGTTGCCTTTTGTCCGCGATATGGCAAACTTCAAGGTTATATGTCGATGCTACCTGGCTACCTACATCTGGCAATAGCATCTGCTAGCAACCTGAAGTCTAGGTAGCTCGGACTCTTGTGGGTGACTTTGGGGAGATCAAGATGCGACATGGGCTTCGGAGAGACTGTCGCCAGATGCAACCTTGCTGCTTTACCGCTTGCTTCAGCTCTTTTCAATTTTTGTTTTTGCCCCCCTTCCCATGCTCAAGAAGCGGCTCTGGGGATTTGTCTGTTTGGCACAGAACGAACAAACGCAGCTTGACACACTTCTACCGCTGGAATTACCCGGAGCGCTTCGTGGTCTTGTCTGGGTGGCGCGTTTCCAATTATCATGACATGTGATATCCTTCGGGATGGACACATCGAGAACAGAAACCAATACCCCCCCCTTTGGGTCCGAAACCTGCCGCGTTTGAGCTCTCTTGCCACTTGGAACTGGCTTCTCCCGTTTCGTCGTCGATCTGGTCTGGCTCGCCAGTTTCAAAGAAGAAGAAAAAAAAGTGCTGTTCATTTATTCCTAGCGGTGCGTCCAGTGTCTTGTCTGGGACCCTGAAATCCATCCAATTGAGACCTCCATCTCCTGTCGCCGCTGCGGCTCCCTGTGCATGTGGCAATAGGCGCCCACTGCAACACCCACGATTGCTACAACATTTGCCCTACCGACTGGAAAGGCTCATGAGGCCTGCAAAAGAGTATTGAATCGCATTATTAAGATAATTAACTCATCTCGACTCTCTCTCCCCCTCGGAACAAGTCCCACCGCAACCAAACTGCTATCCCGCCTTGCCCTGTCCACTGATTCTCGATACTCGAACGAGCTCGTGCCTCTTTGTGGCTCCTGCGCTCAAATGTGACAGGTACAGGCACGGTATCTATCGTATTAGTATTAGGTAGTATTGCTTCCAGAGATGGAGAGTGAGAGAGTGCCGGCATTGGGTTTGATCTTGGTGACATTGTCGACAAATGTTTGTGCCCAGTGCTTCTGCATGCATGCCTCGTGAATGTTACCTATCCGACCTATTCACGTAAGGAGCATCTAGACTATGTAATTGTAGGATCACGATCCTGAGCAGTGCGGCCTCATTTATACGACTACTTATCGGTACCCTCCGGTCATTGCGCACTCTGCAGCTTCGTCTCTGAAAGAGTTTTGCTTTTCGTCTTGTCATGTATATACATACACTCAAGAGCAAACAAAACCACTGATTTTACCCGCCCAGCTGCGAAGCGCTGCAACACCTCAGGCAAAAGAGAACCTTAACCTCGGTACTGCACGAAGCTCCTCGTCGATACCACCTCACCCACTGCTCCCCATCCTAACTGCAACGAGGCAAAAAACGTACATATCACATACATACTCGCATGTGCATGGCAGCCAGAAAAAAAAACTTGTCGCAGCCCTATTCGCGGGACCCCCCCAGCAGGACATTGCCCAGTCCAGGACCAGCCCGTCCATCCATGTCAGCTACCGGCTCACATCAGACAACTGTGCAATAACTAGGTGAATGTAGGCAGAATAAGCGCCGCTTGCTTTGACATCTTCCTCTGAATTTGTTTCCTTTCCCAAGTAGTACATGTATGTATCTGACAAGCGGTATTCGCAGATCAGATCATCACAAGGCGGAATGTTGCGCGCCTCCTTTTTTTTTTTTTTTTTTTGCTTCTCGCCTTTCCAAAAAGTATGTACGCGTCGTTTCTTTTTCTCAGGAGTCTTTTGCCACCGCAAATGGACCTCTGAGAGAAGCAACCTCGAACATTGTGAAATTGATAATACACGTAGTCTCGTCCATACAAATACATAAGGTATTACAAGCACAGTAGTAGATACTACTTGTAGGGATACAAGTGGTAACACGAACAAACACGCCCGTCTCCGCTACGAAGGGGGCCTAAAATCGCTGCTTCACCTGAGACGACGACGACGTCTCAGGTCGAGTGGGACACTAACTCGTTTTTTCTTTCTTTCTGCTTTGGCAAGGCTGCAGGGGGGTTCCTTTAGGCTCTCCCGGGGTGGCCCCCCCTGTCCAGTTTGAACGCTCGACTTCAATTCGCTGGGCATCGCCGCTTTGGTTTGGGGTCTTGACTGTTAGCTCCGTTTCAACCCAATTGCTGCGATTTGCTGCGAGTCCGAGGTGAGAAAAAAGAAGTGGTTTTAGTGATTCTTGGGGATCGGGTCGGACCTTTGCGCATCGGAGAGTGAGGGCGTTGGAGGTTCATCAACCTGCTGCCGTTTTGTCTCATCATGGTGATTTGGCTGGACGGGACGAGATGAATGAGATGGGTACATGTACATGTAATCAGAATGAAAGCAACAACGTGAGATTACTGACGAACTTTTCAATTTCTTCCTTTCATCTACATGTATCATACATCACATCCCCGGTCTCGTTCTCTTGCAACATGTGTACGACTTGCGTGTTTACATCACTACATACCTACCTGGACACCTACCTATTGCTGAGCAGGCCCTTGCCCCCTAGAGCTGCCCACGATCCAATGATCTCTTTACCTGCGTTACACGAGATTGCTCGTGACAGCAGCCTGCCGCCAGTTTCCCCGAGTGGCCACCGCCGCGAGCTGATTTGACCGCGGCCAGGCAATCCCTCTCTTTCTTTCTCTCTCTTACTCACTCTTTCTCATCCCCCAGCCGCCATGGAGGAACAGAGAGAGGACCCCGGGTTTCTACTGTATGTGCGACAGACGTGAGTGGCATGTGATGTAATCTCAGCCGGGGGGGTGTTCGTCTTTGCTTGATCTGAATCTGTGACCGTCTCGGTTCGATGTCTTCAAAAATTTTGCCCTGTAACACCAGGTTGTCCGTCTTCCTGGGTCTAAAGGCCTGCGCGGTTGACTTGATGCGTGTAGGAGATGATATCTGGCCAAATCCTTTATCGACGTAACCTTCAATTTGCGCATGCTATTGCGAGGCACACTGAGATATCCTTATGCCACTACTACCTCCGGCCTACACGCTTCGGAGTAATGCTTGTGCAAGGTTGTAAGAGAGGATGATGGTGTCTGTCCGGCCAAGCAACAGGGCTGACGGAGATTTGAGGCCAGGATCCTTGCAGAGCATCGAGGGGGGGTTAAGCTCACATAGTACTACTAGGTGGATGATTCTAAAATACCTGTCGAGGGCAATTGAAACCTAGCATTCTTCTTCGTCTTCTACCGCGCCGTTGCTATACGTTCAGAACCTGTGTTAGATCAACAGCTTATTACAGACTGCAAACAAAAAAAAAACAAAGAAAATCTGCATCCCCCAAAGTAGCAAAAGGAAAACGCGCCCGAGGGGGGGCTCGAACCCCCAGCCTTGCGGTTAAAAGCCGCACGCTCTGGCCAATTGAGCTACCCGGGCCTAGTCCTTCGGATGCTCCAAAATTTTACACTATATACCTGGTATGACCGTCTGAGGTCAAACCACGCATGATGATGAACGTCCACCACGAACTATTTCACGAAGACCACAGAATTTAATGCTCAATCTCATTCAAATTTGAGAAGATTCGCCAGCAGGCACTGAGCCTGAGGCTTTGCTGATATCAAGTCATACTAGGCCGGCTTTCTTCTTCATGCATCAGCTATATCTATTCTCCCCCGTGTATTGGTAGGAAGGACGTGAATGTCCCTGAACGCTTCATACCTTTAGGCACCAACCTCATTGACGCTCCTTGGCGGCCTTGGGTATTGCTTCCCCAGCTACCTGCAACTGGTGGCCATCTTGGTAACAGTATCTGCTCAGTCAAGTGTGAGCTATACTCCTCGGGGGACGATGTGCTCCGAGCTTCAAGGTCTCTATGTCAGTCATATAGTACCGAGTTACATCCCAATTCGCGGACACTGTTCCGTGTCATCTGGCCGAGACCCGATCTGGGAGTATGCGGTGGTTTATCGCGCATCACATTGGAAGTCTAGGAGCTAACTCAGCCGGGACCGTGAAATCCCATGTTGTCGGGTTATTTGGCTCGCCTTCCTTGCTTGTCTGAGATTTGGCTAGGCGTTGTATTAGTGCTCAGGAGGAAGGCTGTCTATATACACGGATGGGGCCGACATGTCTCTGTTCTGTTGTGGCAGAAGATGCAATGCTCACCTTCCATCGTGTAGTCGCCGTTGCTGTTGGGGAGGTCGGCTGTTTGCCTTTTCTGCGACCTATGCGGTGGAGAGAAATTACCGGAATGATCCAGTCTTCTTTGAACCTGGAAGTCAAAAAGCTATGTTCCTATACCCTAATCTATAAGAGGTATCTACTAGATCTAAGAAACGTACTTCAATCAGACTAGAAATACATAGCGGTAGTAGCAGAATATAGTTGACCTCTTTCTTCCATAGATATCCATAGATATTACTAGCAATAGTAGCAGCAATAGTCACTACACCTACACCTAGGTTGTCAAAAGGCAATTCAGTGACCCATAAGCAGAGACCCGTATGTACTTTTACCAGGGGTGTACTGGTGGTGATGGCACAGGCTGTAGTTGACCGAGACCCAGGTGGTGATACGGCACCGATCAAAGGTATAAAGTTGCGCAGAATCCCCTGCCGGTCCCCTCGTAATAGAGTGACACATATACAAGTCTGCGCGTCTGAAGCTCTGTTGGTTGAGGCGCCGCGATAGGTGACTATAGTAACCTTGTCAGCATCGTCTAGCTGTGCCCTCGAGTTCGTCTAGGAGCCAATTGATGTGTACAGTGCAAGGTGAAGCCAATTAACAGACTGACTTATATTAAGGTATGCAAAAGTCGTGTTCTATAGCTACTGACGAATCAAAGTGGTTTCCTGGCCCTGTGAATAGGCATAATGCCGGAGCTCTCGCTGCTCATGTGCAACACTGTCTTCAGTGTCCATCCGATGGCCAGCCCCTGACCACTCCGGATATCGCTCGTCATCTACAAACCGAGAGCTGGGCCCGACCAATTGGTCATACGGCATTATCTCTCGCCATTCGCAGAAGGAAGCATCTGGATCCCACGAGGCAATCGGGTCAGGTCGAAGGCCAAATGCCCTCGTTTCACGGGCTTCCAGGTCCATGACAAAACCAATAGCAGTCTCAACTGTGGTTCTGATGGCGTCTTCTCCAACATAGGCGTCAATCTTGTCGGCAATTGGTTCGAATGTGATTGGTTCACTAAGCCCATCTTCGACGCCAGTACGCACAAGAATTACGGGGATCTTGCCAATTGAGCTCGAATCTTCGCCATTCCAATCTGTTGGGTTGAGGACGAGGAGGAGGGCTTGGAAGAGTGGTTGAAGGATGTAATTCTGGTGGTCGGCAACGACGTCGGATCCTGCAGTTCCCGTGGCGATTTCTCGGTCGTATCCCAGACGACGCTCACGGATCTCTGCGCTGACAGCTTCGTTCAGGGACTTGATGTTCTGCAGAATGGCCGGCGACGGGGTGTCTGTGTTTCTGAGAGCGATGAATTTGGTGATGAAACGACCGTACTCAATCTCGCTGCGGTAAGGCTTGAACCATCGGCGATAGATGTAGTTGTTGAGAATACCTGCAAGTCGCCAATGGCCCCTTAGGATATAGATGGGGACTGACTTGTTGCAGATGTCTTTGAATTGATAAGCTGGGATTCGAGGCAGAGGCTCGTCAATTGGAGGCTCGTAGGTACGCCAGGCGCACATCCAAAACTGGTTACCGAGGTGGTCTGCTTCTAGGCTGGTGCGGAGATACCAGAGTTTCTCTTCTCGTGTGATGTCGTCAAAGGGACGATTGAAGTCTCTGACCAATGCCCTTTGATGGTAGCTCAGGCCCTCCATGTTTCAATAACGAGAGTGTGAATCGGAATGATGTGTAGGTATCACAATCTGGTAGTCAGATGTATCTCAATGAAAGGATAGGTAGAAGAGTAGAAGTGATGAGCGACGGCAGAATTTTGAGAGGGGCGAGAGTACCTATGGCTTTACATCTAGGTGAATATGTAGCTTATGTAGTGAGTCAGTCAGTGTAAATGATACCCAAGTGTCCATGTTGCCAGGAGAAAGTCTCTCTTTGGTGGCGTGTTATCCAGGCCAGCCACCCCAAACTTTCAATGGGCAAACCGTTGGTGCACAAATTTGAAGAACCAGGAGTAAATCAAGCCAGCAGATCAATGTCAAGAGAAAATGAAGAATACTCCTACACTCCTACCAACTTCCTCAAAAAATTTCCCTCTACGATGACATGCGGTAATCTTAGTGAAGCGTATGCTTAGAGTTGCATTGGCGTTCCCCCTTCTCAGCCTTAAAAGGCTTCAACAACAGGGCTATAGGCCGCGTCTCGTCCACATCAAACCACATATTGCGCAAATACCTTGAATTATTCAGGAGCCAGTCATGGTCTGATGTTACTGGGGAGCAGTACGGCCTAGGTACTGGCTTAGAGTTGTGAGAGGCTTGAATACGGCCCGATGTTGCCTGATGCCGCAAGTGTGTTGAACATGTCTTCATCACCGGAGCCTTCCGCAAATGTGCTCAATTTGAAGCACTGGGGAGCGTCTTGACAAAGACACGGGTAAAAAGGCAGTTGGCCAAATATCCAGGAACATGGATCGAGAGCTCCGTTCATGAAGATTTATCTTGCATTGGCGTTGGAGTTCAGAGCACACAGAGGAGGCATTGACACTAATAGCAGACGCATGCATCCATTAAAGAGGTACCTAGGTACGAACCTGCGGATGTGGCGCTCTCATACAAGATGGAGGTACCTTGAGCCACCCGATTCCGCGTCGCTTCCGTAATCCGGCAGGCGGAAAAAAACTGCCCCACTCTCGGCGCTGTGTCTTCATCAAAATTTCATGAGCCGCCAAATTTCTGTTTTGTGAGAGGAACCAGACGGCGAAGAAAGCCACTTGACAGTTAAAAAGAGAAAAGAAAAAGGCATTTCATCTCATTTCATCATATCCGTCTTCAGAAATCTGGAACTGTTCATCATCGGATTTTTTTCGAATTAAGATTAACCCGATTACCAACGCCAAAGGAGAAAAAGATGCCTGGACGAACAAAGGATGTCACGTCTCAAGACGCCGATATGCACGACGTCCCGACGTCTGCTCAGGACGAGGTCAACCAGGATGCGGAAATGAGGGAGGATGCCGAGGCCGAGGAGGAAGAAGAGGAGGAAGAGGTCGAGCCTCAGCGAGTGCGAATTGTATGGCCAGAAGTTTTACCATCATGAGATCAGAGAGAATCTCGAAGCGCTAACGGAGATGCTTGACAGCTCCCTGGTTCGACGGACACGGCGGCTTCATTCGAGTTCACCGATGAAGGCCATACGCTGGGCAATGCGCTGAGATATGTCATTATGAAAAAGTACGTTTGCGATCCGCGGGGGGCCTTGTGGATGGATGGTTGAGACTAATGCTTCGTTCAGCCCCGACGTCGAGTTTTGCGCCTACTCTATTCCTCATCCCTCTGAACCCAAGATGAACATTAGGATACAGACATACGGTATGATTGGCCTTGATACCTCATGAGCACGAATGCGCGCTAACGCTGCCACCTGCAGACGGTTCTGCCGTCAACGCCCTTAAGAAGGGCCTGAGCGACCTCCAGGACGTGTGCGACGTGGTCGCCGAGGAGTTCTGGACAAAGAGGCAGCAGTTCAACGCAGAGCAGGGTATTGACCGATAATTCATGATGGGGGGGCAAAGCCGGTAATGGATGGAGGACTGGGCTGCTATGCAAGAAGAAAAACTGGGTATATCACATGCATAGGATGGTCACTTGTATATGGGGGCATTGTACGATTTCATGGCGTTTGGCAGGGGTTTTGGCACCAAAAAAACATCTTTGACACAGAGTTATATTTACAAAGGTGATATTTCTTGCATTTGTCCGCTCTAATTTCGGCCCTATCGAAAGGATCGTTAGCTCCCGTACGTCGTCGGCTTGATCCCACGCTGCTTTGCCAGCTCACCTCTAAGAAGCCAGACATGAAGCTGGACGGAAGCCTCTTGTCTCCTCTAAAGTTATCGCTGAAGTAAGCCATGATGTGCGTCTGCTGCTTCCAGAAGTTCATAGTCTCCTAAATTTACCACCCCGGCGATTAGCATGCTGCCCTTCTTTCTCCCCATACGAGCAGGAAGCTCATTATTCTCTTCCGGGGGCGGCCGTTTCGTACCTGGTATTCTGCGTGGGACTTGAAGAGGAGGACGTCGACGACGGGCAGCTGGTTCGTGAATCGGTGTCGCTCAAACTCTTGTCGGATCCGCGTCCGCAGGGCAGAGACGGGTAGAGGGACATTGTACATGGTCTGGATCTCCGGTGCCTGCCATTTTTCGCTCCATTAGATTTTTCGTTCCAGAAAACAGTAGCATGCCCAACTTTTCAGAGACACTAGTCACAGTTCCATCTCGTCACCGATATATGGCCTCGAAGGGGATCTCGTGGGACGTACAGCTCGGATCCATTCGCGGTAGGAAGAAAGGACTCGACGCTTCGCATCCGACCAGCTGGTCGCTATTCGGTATGTCAGCTCTGCCAGACGCTTGGGGAGCAGATCCAAAACTCACACTGCGCCGTCTTCTTGGCGAATTGGGTCGGCGTAACGGCCATGGCGGACGGTGGTTTGCTTTCTGGCGCAGGGAAATGCAATGCCGTGACGTTGAAGCTGATCCCCCAATGGAAGCATGCCCACCCTCCGAGCCTGGGAGCGCTTCACGTGACACACGGAAGTTGCTAACTTGGAACTCTTAGAGTGCGCCACATCGGTACGGAGGTACCTTGAGCATTTCGCCCCTCGGCTGTGGCTTAGCTCAGCCTTGTCGACGCGCTTCTGGAACCTCGCCCAAGCTTATTCCTACCGTCGACCAGCGAGCGATTGGAAATCTCGAGATTCAATCTTTTACAACACAAGGTCTCTGTGCTGCTAATCTTCTCATCGTACTCAACCTGCTTACTTTTTCTTCCTATCTCCATACCAAATATGCCGGCCATTAGACATTCGTCAAAACGAAAGCCGCCGCCAGAGGGCTTCAGCGACATCGAAGATGACCTCCTGGTCTTTGCGAACAAGATGAAGGATGCGCAGAACAAGCCCCCGCCGCCGGGCCCGAAGCACATGGCGCAGTGGGAGATTTTCCAGATTGCGCACCAGCGGAGCCGCTACGTATACGATCTCTACTACGAGAAGGAGGCCATCAGCAAGCAGCTGTACGAGTGGCTGCTGAAGAATGGATATGCCGATGCGATGCTCATTGCCAAGTGGAAGAAGCAGGGCTACGAGAAGGTATGTTGCCTGCCCCCACCCCCCCTTCCTTGTGCTTACTGGTTCCATATCATGTATCTGTGAACAATATGCTGACAGTTTTGACTAGCTCTGCTGCTTGCGCTGCGTCCAGACGAAAGAGACAAACTTCAACAGCACGTGTATCTGCCGAGTGCCGAGAGCTCAGCTGAAAGAGGATGGCGATATGCAGTGCGTCAGTTGCGGCTGCAGAGGGTGCGCATCCAGCGACTAAGCGAGGCATGTGGGATTCAGGGACTTTCATACGGACATCAAACATCAAACAGGCGTTAGGGCGTTGGGGGGGTCAGAACTGCAATGAGTTACTCCAACCATGGAAGGGCAAGAGGGAGGGAAAGATTTTACATTGGCTGCTTGTTGTTGAAATTGAAGAGGTAGATATCCTGAATTTTGGCTGAACATTACTCTTTCATAATAGCATGCTGATCATTTTCCTGCCATATCCAGTCCAACTCCAGTGCAATAGCCTCTCCGTCTCATCTCTTCGAGAACCCTGGCCGGCCTCGACCAAATCGGATGCTGGGAGGGACAAATTGTAGAGCTGACATGGCCCCTGTCAGATCCGCCATGTCAGTGTCGACTGATGTCTCCGGCTTCGCTTTGTTCTCATCTGCCTGTGTTGTACTTGAGGGCAAAGGGGCCTGGGACTTGTTGTCGGGGTCGGACGCCTCCTTTTCCAGCGTATTTGCACGACGGCGAAGCTCCTTGGCCTGCGCTTGGGAGCCAGCTGAAGGCCTGCGTCGATGGCCGTTCTCGATAAGGAGCGAGCGCTTGCCGTCAATGCCTTCTTTAGTGACGGCAAAAAAGAAGTTCTTGGGGTACATGTGCTTGTCAATCAGATGAAGCCGCCTCTTCTGAGGAGTCATGCACTTGCGCTCGCACCCTTCGACAAAGCAAGAATACTACACCTTGTCAGAGCAAGTCCATACCTTACTGCACAAAGGAACATCTGCATTCCGCTTACCGTGTGCTCGCCTTTTTCCCTGGCGACCTTTGCCAAGGGATCATGGCATTCCTCGATATGGATTTCGAGAAGATGATTTGTGGGGAAGTTCTTGCGACACTCAATACATCTGTTTGTATGAAACTTGTGATAGTGAGCCTCGTAGTCGCCATAGTACCGGAACCCCAGCGGTTCCTTGTGAGGGGGCAGTGAGCATCTCATCGTGATTTCGCCGCCGCCGTCGTCGTCGTCTTCAGCAGGTGAGTCGAGGCCGGCGATTTTCGAGACGGGTTCAAGGTCAGCGTCAGCAGGTGCGGGACGATGAGAGTCGTCGGCTTGAGGATCGATTTCTAGATGCTCTTCCGGCTCTCGTGAGCGCTTCATCTCTTTAAGACACCTGACGGTGAGCTTTGTGGGGCAAGATGTGTATTACTCTTAAAGCAGACCAGTCCTTTTCGTGACGAGGGGGGAGGGGGATGCGGATAGATGCAGATGCAAGCAGACGTGAGGTTTTAGCTCAAGCAAGAAAAGCAAGCCTGAAATGATTACAGATGAAAGAAAAAAGAACAAGACGATTACAAGCTCGCTAGAGATGAACCTGATTTGCGGCGCTGGTTCCGGAGGTAAAGGCAGGTAGAGGTGTCGTGAGTACGTAGGTTGAGAATAAGATGGAAGACGGACGATACCTGCTTCAGAATGACGCCCAAGTTAACTGCTGAGATCAAATGGTTGGAGTCAGGCCTGAAGGGATGCTGGCGGGGGTTCTGCCCCACCCCGCGTCTCCAGATGCTGGAAGCTCTGGACTCGCCGATTTAGTACCCTTAGGACCTCCTAGGGTGCTTTGGGTGCATGCGCAGATCATAGATATCTGTAGCACTCCAAGACGGGCGGATTTTTGTCGAGTTTGGGGCGTGATTCAACGATGCTTGCAAATGAGGTCATTGTTCCAACTTGAACAACGCATAAAGGAATTTGTTAGAGTATTAATTCACGCTCTCAAGTGCTACGTAATTACACTGAATATGACTACCTAAGGAGATCAGCATCCTGGAAGAATGCTATGCTTGTTCTCTTCTTGCGAACAGGTAACCTTCAAGGTGCGAGGCGTTGAATGCAAGACAACCACAGCAAAAGGCGAACAAGCCTGACACAGTGCTGGTTGACGAGCTCCGCACCAAGGAGGGCTTAAACACGCCATCACAGAACCGTGAACACCAACAGCGCAAGCAGCTATTGGCCGCTTATTCCAATCGGACACAACTGGTTCTTTTCCGTATAAGTAAGAGTAGTCTGCGCAATTCTCGCGAACTCTCACCTTTCCAGCACCCTGTTGTCCCGGCATGGCTTTTACTACTACCTAGGTATTCTTCGCCCAATAGTAAGCTGGAGAAGCTGAACAGCCGAAGAAAGCCCAGCGCGCTCACTGCAGCGACCAGCTAATGTACCTTATTTTTGCTTGACTAACCTTGAGGGGTTCAGTTCAGAAGCCGCTCACTTTGTTATCGCCATTCCCTCATTCCATTAAAAAAAATCACTTCCCGGACCCTTTCGTCGCAAAAAGCGCCCGCCTCTCACGACTCGCACGACCTCGCCGGAGCTGGTCAGCAAAACAAGCAAAAGCCCATTGCCATTGCCATTCGCCTTCTTGGACTCGCGAGCCCACCTTCACCAATGTTTTCTCCCCCAGCTGCTTGCCCGATTTCCGCCAGCCGAGTCCGGTACCAGCTCTCCCGATCCGACGCGGCCTCGAGTTATGGACTGTCTGGACCTTTGCGATTTGGATCCCCGAGAGCATGAGACGGCTGCGTAGCTGAAGAGACCGACCTACCTTACCCGATACCACGCCCGGCGACCATCGTACCGCCGTCAGACAACCGCAATTCACCACCATCTGCCGAACTCCGGGGCACAGCGAGCCCGTCCGCGACATGGCCTCTTCTGCCCCTCCAGCGGCCATTTCTTGGCGGTAGGTGCCCTCTGCGTCAGTCCGGGAGAAGTCGCGCAAGCTGTCGAGAGGAGGTCGTGGCATCTTGCCTCTGCTGCTCTGGTCGTGATCGCGGCGCAGCTTCTCAGGAGAGCTCTTTGGCCGGAACATGGGTACTGACGCCGTCGCAATAGTAACGCCCAGAAGCTACGCAAGCTGCTTGTAAGAGACATTGGGAAGCTCACGCCCGGCAATGCTTCCGGCGTCGACATTTCCAAGTTCGAAGCGATAGACAGCAATCTGGACAAGTACGCAGACCGACTCTTCATCAGGCCTTGGCAATTGGTATCAGCCAAACAACTAACGCGCTCGCTCTAGGTTCCGCCTTGCCTGTGTATCCACCATCTTTCACGACCTCGAGTATGCCCTCTCCCAGAACACCGAGGAGCATCTCTGGTCCATGCACACCTCGGTCAATACCGAGTATCGGCGCATCCTGGGCCGCCTCAAGCAGTCCTCCCACGCGGTCGAGAAGCGCAAGGTCGAAAAGATGTACCACAACTTCCTGCGCATCGCCGCCAACTTCTACAAGGGCTACCTCCAGCGCATGTGCGCGTACTACGACATCCCCGAGCTCAAACGAGTCGCGCAAGGAATGGAGCTCGACCAGATGGGTGCCAAGGCCAACGTGACCCCGGTCTCGGAGGAGCTGCAGCGCAAGGTCTTGCACTCTTGCCATCTGAATCTCATTCACCTTGGAGACCTGACTCGCTACCGGATCCAGGCACGACACAAGAGCTCCGACTATGAAGCGGCTTTGGTATACTACGGCTTGGCTCACCATATCCAGCCCCAATCCGGCTTCGCTTTTCACCAAACGGGCATCATTCATCTTGAACAGGGGAACCATCTTGATATTGTCTACAACTTCTACCGAGCCTTGGCCGTGCAAAGCCCCCACCCCAACGCTCAGCTCAACTTGGAGACTGAGTTCAAGACGGTGCTGGCCCCTAATGGATCGAGGACCCGACCCAACCCCTCCGTTCCGGAAGCTCACTTCACAATGTGGTTTGTGAAGCTGCACGCCTACTTCTACAGAGGAGAAGTTTTCCATCAGCAGGCCGAGTTGGAAGGCGAAGTGATGCACCGGCTGGAGATGGCTTGCCGAAATCCCGCTTCTCTCGGCATCCTCCTCAAGATGGCAATGGTCAACATGCTCGCGCACAATATAGCGACAGCTCAGTCCACAGGTATATGATAGCGCCCCCTCTCAGAGCTGCGCTTTACTGACAAATGATGAACAGAGAAGCAGACGGAGACTTCCATGCGGTTCTACCACTTCACGGTCCGCTTCAACGCCATGTTTATTTCCACATTGTGCAAAGTGCTGGAAGCCGAGCTTCGAGAGGCCGTTTCCAGCGCCAAGGATCTTGATCAGGAGTCGGATGCTACCGAGGCCGCCCGAGAACAGACAACCCCCGTTGTCGAAGCCCTCCTCCCCGTCTTGCGCGTGTATAGCATGTGGCTCGTGGCCCGCCGTGACGAGGTTTCCGCCCTGGCAGATGCGTTTGGGGCGGCGATTCCCGGAATGATTCAGAATCTGGCCAAAGTCTTGAGCTTGCTCTGCGCCGAATTCTACAACCTTGACAACTCAAAGTCTTGCCCCTATCTGCTTCCGGAAGACATCCTAATCTATGGGTTCCAGCCGCTTGACGAAAAACAGCTTCCCGAATACTGTCGAGCCTACTGCGGCGACGACGGTGCCCGCAAGCCTTCCTCCCAGGCTCTCGATGGTTGCCCCTCCCCATCGACTGAGAGGACCGGAAGAATCCTCGACATTATCCGTTGCGCTTATTTCTTGGCTAACCAAGCCGCTTTCCCTCTGATTTATAAAGATTCGCAAGTGGAGGGGACTCTTTTGGTTTTTGAGTACCAGCCCGCTGCTGAGCAGCCACAGGTTCGATTCAGTGAAGCAGAGGATATCGCAAATACCACTCCATCAGTTGGCGCCTTGCCTGCTGCAAGCCAGGGAGAGACGACCCAGACCGTGCCGACCACCCATGAGGGAGCAGCAGCGGATGCGGCGCCGTACTCTGACGAAAGCCAGCGAGAGGCCAGTCGGCGCTTGCTGACCGTCTCTGACGATGTCTATGACGACTCCGAAGTGATTGATCGAGCTACTGAAACGGTGCTCGACATGGTGGCGCCATTCTTGCGACCTCCGACGCCCATGGAGCTCGATCGATCGCCGAAACAAACACCATCCGCAAACGATGCGGCTGGCTCATCGAGGCCCCAGCCGAGTCCTACTTCGTCCATTGCGTCGCCCAGATACGAGTCTCTCCCATGGTCCTGGTTCGGCACCCCGAATCCGCATGCCACCCGAGATTCAGCGCCGCCTGCGAGCCGAGACACGCCAAACAATCACTATCACGCAACGCCCTCTCCCAATGCTTCTGCGGCGGAAAGCGGTCCTCTTGACGACCCCTTTGCCACGCCAGGCCGCGATGTGTGGGAACGCATCGCGCGGAGCGTGGTCAATGGAGTCGGCAGCCCTGCAGGCACAGCTGCCCGATCCCTTCATCAGGAGCAGCTACTGCAGGCCTTGAATGGGAGCGCGAGCACTCCGCGGACCTCGTCTTTCAGTCGCTGGGCGCAGAATCCAGGCTCGCTGCCGCCCGGGTTGACCCTGCAAGAACTACAGAACTTTGGTGCGATGCCGGTCTCATCAGGCAACTCGGCGTTCTCACACCCAAGCAGCCTTTATGAGGGTACTCCGCCCAGTGGCTTGCAGTATCATGCGCAGACTCCCGTGGATGCCTTGGCCATTCTCCGAAGCCGTCTCGTTCTGGAGGGCCGGGCATACAATGATGTCTTCCAAATCGACCAGACGACGTCAGACTACAACAAGGCCGTCATGCGATCGGCCTATCAGGATACCAGGTAGATGGAAGGGTACATAGCGACCTTTCTGAATACCTCTAAGCCTCTTGGATGAAGTGTGTGTCGTTGTCCGACAGGAGAGAACGAATGATGAGATGGTTGCCCATCAAGGCCTGTTGAAGTCTTGCATTTTAACGAAGAATGAACAGCGGCCCTTGTTTTTCCCCCCCGGAGGTCGCCGCAACCAAACACCGAGGATTTGATTTTGGAATTCGAGATGCCTCGTTCAGCAGCGCATGATCTATGCAGCACCAATCTGGAAGCGGCAATGCTGTCAATTCACCCCCTTTTCTTTTTCTCCCGGCCTTTGTTGGATGGCTCTTCTCACACACCTGTTTTCGGTCCACTCCATGAAGGGGGAATCGGTTATGAGTGCTGAGGCAAGATGAGAAGAATCGACTCGGAAGGCTCGATAGATCAAGTCGTCTCCCAACTTCACACCAGGACGAGACGACGGTTATGACAGGCAAATCTGGTCTTTCATTCATCATAAAATTGATTTTTCAAAAGATCATGAGGTATAAAACCATAAAGAATGATCGCGTATCGTGGAGGATACTGAATCGCTATGCAAAGCGAGCCACTGCTTCTGGGCTCTCTACCCTAGGTATTTGATGCAAAACGCCGTTGTTGAAACCCTGTTTTTCCTCCCGTTTTATTCCCTCAACGCCAATTTCCTTTCCTTTCCGTGCCAACCGAGGGCATGGACGACAAGAGCAATGTGCTATCTTGGGCACCTTAAGAGGAGGCCGAGTATGTCTGCTTGGGGAAGGGGTATCTGAGAAGAGATGCGTTAGCTTCGGGTGGACCTGGTCCGGACGAAGTGGCTGCGAATCGAGAATGGTTCATGCAATGACAATACGAAGACGGAAAAAGAATAAAAGAGAGACTTACGAAGGACCCAGCTCCTGGATGCTCAGCTTAGCCAGCCACTGGCCCTTGTCGATGGAAGTCTCCAGAGAGTCGCCCTGGACAATACCGGCAACCAGGCCACCAGCAAAGGCATCACCGGCGCCGTTGGTGTCGTTGATGAGGGCAGGGTCCAAGGGGTGGACAGGGAAGACCTTGACCTCGTCCTCGCCCTGGATGGCGACCAGGGTGGGCTCGGTGCCCTGGGTGATGATGGCAACACGCTTGCGCTGGGTGTTGATCTTGGGCAGGTTGGCCAGGACCTTGACGACGTCCTTGGGCTCCTTGGAGGGAAGATTGTGAGCCTCGGCGTAGGCGGCGGCCTCGGCCTCGTTGCCGATGATGTAGTCCCAGTAGGGGGCGCTGGCGTCGACGACGTCCTTGAAGAACTGGGGGATGAAGGGCGCGGAGAGGGAGACGACAAAGACCTTGTTCTTGTCGGCGGCCTCCTTGGCGAGCTCCATGATGGCGGGAGGGCAGACTTGTGCGATTTGAGTTCAGTCAGTCACTTTTCTTCCCTTATGAACTGTGGCTTTTGTCTCTATGACATGCAAGATGTGATGGGATAGCCATATTTAGGTAGATATCGTTTCGAGAGATTGCTTTTGCAAATGCGTCTTCTCGCACGTCTCTCCAATGTGTGATGCTGTGTAGGTACTTACCGGTGAAGTGGTAGCCTCCGACGTAGTAGACCTCGGCGTTCTCCACGAGGGACCAGATCTCGGGCTTCTTCAGGTGGTCGAGGTCATAGTGGTTGGCGGCGCCGAGGTCGGTGCAGAGCGAGCGGTTGTGGCCGGTGATGACGACGCCGCAGCGGCCCGTGGGGTGCTTGTCGTCGACGCGGTACTCGACGCGGAGGCCGGCGGCCTTGACGGCGTCGCGCAGGATGGCGGCGTACTTGTCGTCGCCGACGCCGCCGAAGTAGACGACGCTGTTGGCGGGCAGGAGGTACTGGGCGCCGCGGGCCGTGTTCTGGGCGGCGCCGCCGGCGATGAGCTTGGCGTCGTAGTTGTTGAGGAGGTCCTCGTAGATGCCGAGCTGGTGGGGTTCGGCGAGGACGGCGTCGTTTGCCTTGAGGGAGTACTTGTCGAGCAGGGCCTGGTCGCCGACGGCTTGGATGTCTGTTGGGATGATTGTTAGTGGTTTTGCTGTTTGCGTGAGGGCAGACAGGAGGAAAGTAAGTTGAGCTTGGGTTTTGGCTTCAAGATGGGACATACCAAGGAGGGGGTTCTCCAGGCAGATGAGGGCGAATTCCTTGTTGGGAGCCATTGTGACTGATATAATGCTTCGACGAAGGTCTCTCTTTGATTGCTTGAATTCGTTCGATTGAGGCACAGACGGCACGGGGCTTATGCAAAAGGGAGGATGAGAAGGAGGAGTTGAGGAGGTAGCGGAAGAGTAGAAGTGGGAGACAGGTTGGCTCTTGGAGGGGTTCGGTCGCAAGTATTAATTTAGCGGGATGTCGTTTTTTTTCTCTCTGGACGCTGGGTCCTCTTTTGTTTCGGAGTGCAGCCTGTACCAGGTACTTCGGATTGGTGGGGGGCTCTCTACTAGTTGAATGAGATGAAGTGCGGCCCCGCTTGTAATGGGTACTTGGCTGCTTACGGGCAAGGCAAGGTGAGGTGCTTGTACTCCGAGGGTGGTGCAGGTCTGGGTAAAGTAGGTACCTAAGGTATTTGAATTGACTTTCTGATTACAGGGACTTTGATGCTGCAAGCTGATTATCACAAACTTCATGAGAAATGCTTGAGAAAATTTGCAGACAAGGGCTGACGATGTGTCTCTAAGCTCGTACGAGTACAGATGTTGTCAAATATCGAATTGTGCATCTTCAGGCTGTTATATCAGATAAGTCCGATCCCCACGAGAGAAAGGATCCCATCCCCTCTTACACGACATGTGTACTTCCTTACGGAGTATTTCACGTCAAAATGCACGTAAGAAAGTCAGCTTTTCGCAGGAACAGGAAATTCACATTCCGTCCGGAGCCCGGGCTTATTGTGCCTCCTCTCCCTCAACCCCCCCTGCTCCTTTGTGGCGGGCAGGTAGGTAATTTGTGTCCGAACGTTTGACGGTGCCGGAGTTGCGTGGCTTTTGTTTTAGGTTAGCTGTGAGCCGTGTTGTCATTATCTCATGGGGGGATTCTCAGCTTCAGCCATTGGACAAGATTTTTGAATTCTTGTTGTTTTCATTTCTTTGTACGCAGCAACTCCGTTTATTATCATATGAGCAACATGACAAGGCTGCTGCGTAAGTATGCAATAGCGGACACAGACGAAAGGCTGTCGAGAAGTTGGAGCCGAAGGAATCAGAGGTGCCTAGGTACCTCTACCTAGGTACGCACATGTACGAAGCACCTGCAGCTGCCAGTGGTTAAGCTCCGAGCTCAGAAACTCGCCGACAGACCTGAAAGGGAGTGAAATGTGAGGTTGATATACGGGTACTAGCATCAACATCGATAGGTAGTACATCAGGTAGGTACTTTATGTAGATATCGATATGCCGCGGCTCAAGTGTGCCAAAGTCCAAGGGCCCAACTTCTTCATGCGTATTAACCAGCCATTACAGGATATCTAATCTGGTGAAAGGTATATATGACCATCACCGCCACCGACTCATTCACGTCCAGAGAGTGGGCAAGGAAATTGGCTCGTCTTTTGTTCTTTTTATTTGCAACGAAATGTCATAATAGTACTTGCCAGAGGAGCCATGCCAAGTTCCATTCCTGACCGGCACCATCCATAGTAAGAAAGCCACTGTAACACCATCCCAATGAGACCATGAATTTTAGCCACCTTACTCCTTCGTCTTCTGAGTACCACGGAGCAGACCCGTCCTTCTGGCGGCAATGAGACCGGCCTTCTGTCCCTGCACGGCATACCGTGAGATGGTAGAGGCCTTACCAATGTGCTGGTGGTTACCACCACCGTGAGGGTGGTCCACGGGGTTCATGGCAACACCACGAGTCTTGGGCCAGCTGTTACGCTTGACAGCGAACTTGTGCTTGGCACGAGAAGCCTCTGTGGGAGTTTGTTAGCAATCCGAATCTCTTCCCATTTTTTCCTTCTCTCCTCCATCTTCCTCCAACAAGGGGAGTGCCAGGGTTCACGTACTCAACAGAGGCTTGTCAGTTCGGCCACCACCGGCAACGATGCCGATCATTCCTCGGGATCGGGAGTGGACGACCTTCTTGGCGCCAGAGGGCAGCTTGATACGGGTCTTGCCCTCGTCGGGGTTGTGGCCGACAATGGTGATGTAGCCACCAGAGTTGCGGCCCAGAGTGCCACGGTCGCCAATCTTCTCCTCGACGTTGGAGACAACGGTACCCTCGGGCATCTCACCGACGGGCAGGACGTTGCCGACGGTCAGAGCAGCGCGCTTGCCGGCGTAGATGAACTGGCCGGTGTACATGCCCTCGTTGGCGATGAAGGTCTCGGTGACCTGCTTGTACTTGTAGGGGTGGCGGAACTGGACCTTGGCGAGAGGAGCACCACGACCTATACACACGCAAACAAGCAATTCCCTCGTTAGCTACACTTCCTTTCGACCCATGGATTCCCGTCTCTCTCGTCGGTCGTCCAGCTTTTTCGCGTTCTCGGGGGAGATTGGACTGACCAGGGTCGTGGATGATGTCCTTCACGATACCGCGGACGTAGCCATGGCGCTCGGCGTAATCGAGGGTGCGGAACTTGGCCGGGGCCTTGTTCAGGCGCGTGTTGGCCGCTGTTGTGAACACATGGTTAGAGATGTCGAAGTTTCTCGAGACGCAAAGAAGTTCGATTTTCGATGTCGAAAGACTGCATCTCGGGAGCCGGCTACTCACTGAAGATGGAGCCACGGCCCTTTCTCTGGTTGCGAATAACACGACCCATTGTGAATCTCGGGGTAGCTGCGAGGGAGGGATTGATGTCAGTGCTGGGCCGCCGGCAGCGCGAGAAGTTTGGGAGGCTTTACCTGAGGTCCGGCCGCTTGGTGTTTTGACAAAGAGGCGCTCGCTTGGCCGGCTTTCGATAATTTTTTGTGTGCGGGACCCTCTGCCACACAAGAGGAACCCTGACCACGTGACTGAACTTTTCGAGGACGCGCATTGGCCAGCGCTGGACAGACCGGGTGGGACCCCACTTTCTCCAAGGCTCTCAAGCGGCTGACAAAATAAGTGGGACGACAAATGACATGCAAGGCTCTCAATCGATACGGCAGGGTAATACCAAGAAATACGAGTACTTACGAGATTCACATGAGAGAAGCTCAAGCTTTTGTCCCCAATGAATGTCTGTGTTGATCCTTGATTTCCAAGGTAGTCAATTGTGCACTTTCTACATGGGCTCTCATCGCACAATTTCCGACTCTGGGTCGTATCATACGGCAGTACTTACAGACATACCGTGATCTTTCTTCCTCAACAATTACATACAGGTAGCGGATCGATCTACTCTACGGCATCGCCTTCGCGTCTCGCTTATTTTGTCAATGACTGCCCCAAGGACAGGGGCATCAAAACCCCCACAATTTCTGCTCCGTACTTCATCCACAAGCAAAGACCTCTCAGTTGACGTGCTGTGAGATTGAGCGTCTCTACAGCCATGAGGCGCGCGTCGCCCTGCGTGGAAACTACCGCGGAACCATCATGTTGCTAAGCATTTGTCACCGTGTGCATCCAATGCGATATCTGTTCTCTTGCTAACTTGGACTTATATTGGCCTGCTCTCTTCTCATGCTCTTGCCATGATGCATCACACGCCATATCAAAGAGCGAATCCGACGCTGGACGTCAGGTTTCAACCGGTGCGCAGGAAAAAAAGTGTTTCCCTGAATGGGCGCGTTCTCCTCGCTTCTTCACCGAAAGGCGTACGTTCAGCGGCTTGCTCTACGCCCTTGACATACGTGGTGCCGGGCTTGGATGCGGGGAGACTCGTAAAACCAACCTGGGTGCAAATGACGGGATGCTGAGCCACTGATTTTGGGGCATAAACGTCCTTGGCTGGATTCTGGGATACAGGCAATGGTTCGAGACTGGATAGGCGCTCCCAGGTTGGCCCAAGCTCTGCCTGCCTGGGCTCTGCCTACTTTGGCCGTGACCGCAGTCTGCGAGGGATCGATATGAGACCGAAACTTGTGGCATGCGCGGCCAATGGTTATGCCGAAATACGGCCTGGGCGTCAAAGACAGATGAACATAGCTAGACCTTTAAGAATGGAGACTCGGCTGAGAGCTGCCTCTTGTCTGTAGCACCGCCGTCGAGACTGCAAGTGTTTGGTGAGGTGACTGGCAACTACCACTTGATAACCGCCCGTGGCCTATCAGAAGTCATCTGTAGCTGCTACCTTAGTGCATCCACAATCTCTCTGAGCAAACGACGTGCCTCTCCCACCTCCCTCCTTCATCCACACAGCACCGGCCATCGCATCGACCCGAGCCTCAGCGCCATGGCTGCCGCAGACGACGATTCCTCCGATCTGTCATCTCTCTCGTCCCTGTCGCCTGTCCCCTCCGATGCCGAGTTGGACGACCTGAGTGACGCGCCGACCGGCGCCAAGTCGGGGATCCTAAAGTTCTTCTCCAAGCTATCAGAGCAGCCGCCAAAGGAACCATCGCCGCCGCCGCGCAAGCGATCGCCCTCACCACCTCACGAATATGTCCTGGCCGACAACCCCGATATTGCAGTGCGTTTCTCCTGTCAATCATGTTGCTTCTCGACATTCAATGCCGGCCGCTCGTGCGTGGCGACAGGGCGCGTTCACAGTGTCAAGCGACGCGAAATTTCGCGTGCAGACGTCATTAGGCTCAACTAACATGGCTTACTGCAGTTCCTGGTGATGTTTCGAAGCCGCTTCAGCGACGCATTTCCCAAATCGCTCGCCCACTTCGGGCCGCAGGAACTGGAACGAGACGTTGTCGAGCCCATCCCCGGCGATCGAGTCGAACACTTCCTATGCGCCGTCCTCGGTCTTCTCCTCAACCGGAAGCAGGATGTCAAGTAATGCTATGCCCCTTTCGTCCTATCCCGGCATCGCGTGCGCATGGGCTAACAGTGTCTCCCTTTGCTCTTGTTCTCACCGACAGACCAGGTCACTACGCCAGGGCGTTGGAAGACGCCGTCGCATCTCACAAGAACCAATGGCCCCGTTCATGGGAGGACAAGAGTCCGCTGGCCGGTGGCGCAACCTTTGGCTCTCTGAACCCTACCGAAAGAGTGCGTATTCTTTGATAAGCGACTCTCTCCTCTTTCCTTTCGGAAAGAGAAAAGCGCGCCCAGTTACAAATGGCTGACATGTCACTTGTACAGCTGAACCTTTTGCGTTACCTTGTTCTCTGGGCCATGTCTTCGTCGGAAACCCTCAAGGGCTTGATCAATCAGTCGTACAAACAAAATCGCCACGAGGACGACATCAATCAACCGCGTGCAGTTCAACCATGGGGATCCGATGGAGACAAGCGCCGGTACTTCTTGGTCGAGGGACAGGATGATACCGCTTTCCGTGTGTATCGCGAGAGTAACCCTGCTGGCACCAACCGCACTTGGTGGAGCGTTGCCGGCAGCATTGATGAGCTCAAGGCTCTGGCCGAGAAGCTCGAGACCAAGGACGGAGGCCCCAAGGCCAAGAAGCTCAGTCATAAGATTCTCCAAGCCATCCCGCGATTCGAAGCAGGAGAAGAGGTACCCCTCCCTTGCAAATGTGTGCGCCTCCTCGACACATGAGCTGACAGAACCCGTAGAAACGGAAGCGACGAGAATACCGGCAGATGCGCAAAGAACAGTTCAAACGCCCAGAGCCCGGATTCTCATTATACGAAGGTCGTACTCGCGGCAAGCGGATGAAGTACACGTACTCCGACGACGAAGACGTGTTCTCGGATTCCACTGGCTATAGGCGCTCAGCCCGCAACACCGGAACCACCACGCCAGCGGAGACGGGACCTGTCACTACATCAAGCGGTCGCACTGTTCGAGCTCCTCCCCGGCTCAATGTCACCACAGGCGAAGACCTACCAAATGATACCCAGGAGGAGGCTGGTGAGGCTGCCGCAGAGAACCCTACTGGCCGGCCGCGTAGAGCGGCAGCGGCGAATGCTGCAGCGAATGGCTCCGCCAACACAGACGATGAGGAAAGCGAGGCCGAGTTTGGGGACGATGAAGAGGATGTTGAGGCTCAGATTCCGGAAGAGTCAGAGGACGAAGACGAGTTCAAGGATGAAGCCATGGATGAGGACGACTTGGAGGTGGCGCCTCAGACACTGGTCGTGAAGCTCTCGGTGACTCCGCCCAAATTGAAAGGAGTGCTCACCCCGAGCGAGCAAGCAGCGAACCTACTTCCCGCCAGCAAAGAAGAGAACTCGAAGGATGCACCAACCGGCCCACCAGATACGCCTACGCCCAAGCAGCAACCCTTTGACACGGCGGCGACAGTAACTACGCCCAATGTGAAGATTCCTGAGAGGCCTACAACGCCACAACCTACCGAACAACAAGCTGGAGACCAGTCGACTGTGCCATCTGTCGCGCCGGCAACTTCTTTGGCATTTAGAGGAAGCCCTGAAAAACAACCGGCACAACTGGTACCTGAGACTGTCAAGATCATCAGTCAGGAGTAAGAGACGTGATAGCTCAGCCCAATCAACTTTATGTTTCATCTTGGGAGTTATGGTTAAAACAAGCGGCGGACGGTCCGATACAACTTTATTTTTTTCGAAAGTGTACTATCAGTTGAATGTTACGGATTTAGACAAGGGGCCATGAAAATCAGGAAGAGTCACGCTTCTATCACAAAAACGCAAGAGAGGGCTTACGATGCCATCTGAGACGCGGTCACCGGTGTGTTGATTCCTTTTAGGTGTGGAAAATGAAGGCGGGCTGGAGGCGCAATGTGCTCTCAAACCTCATTATGATAGACAAAAAACGGACTGCGTATTCGCATAGTCGACCCGATGATAATAATACATGCTAATGAACCGAGTGTCTGTGTTGCTCTCATGCCACCGCCCTACCTAATCATTTACATACGTCTCTTGGCATTAGGGTTGTTGGGCAGCTTCCAATTGTTCACGCCATACCACCACCTCCTCAGGCGGACGCCTACTGAATCGCCATGTAATCTGGCGTTCTTGTTCCAATGGTGCCACCCAACCAGTGCCAAGTTCAGCAGAACGCCCTGGGCCAAGGGCATCAATACCTGTTGTCATTCCCCGCGTCAGCATCAACCTTTCCGAGTCATTGAAGCCCTATCCGAGGGGGAGGATCTGTGCAGCACCAACCTGGTCCCTAACGGTAATGAGCAATACTTTCCACCAGGTATCTGCTGAGGCGATGCTGTGGAGATAGCTCTGCTCGAAGCGCAGGTCCGGCAGCGGAGGGAGGTGGTAGTGCTTCTTGGGGGGCCGCAGCACGCTGTACGGGATGTCGTCTTCGTCTTCGGAGACGTCAATGTCGCTGCGGCGAGCGCTGTGGAGGTCGACCAGGTGGCGCCTGTCTGCGGCAGTGGACGGCGCAACGTCCTGTCGCGGGTCGGGATGCCTTCTGATGTGGCCGGCCTGGATGGTGCTGCCGAGCTCGGTGGGGAGGGAGGAGGCCATGGCTGGAAGGGGAGGGCGATTGCGCGTCAGAGGCTCTGCGTAGACGGGGGAAACTTCTTCTGGCTTTCAGCTGGCTTTACCGCCCCTTAGGCACCACTGCGTGTGTTCTGCCTCGATTGTCAGATGTTGCTGCCGGGATGCTGCAGGGATGTCACCGTGCATCAATTCGCCCTCAGCAACTATTACAGCACAGTATCTCGAGCTCGGGAGCGTTCAACTCGATGCGTTCTGCCGGGCGGTGAAGGGCCGGATAATGACAAGCAGCGAACGAGCCATCAGTAACAGCTGGTGACGTCGCGTGCTTACATAACGCTCTCGCCCTTGAGCCACGTTTAGGCGGAAAATGTTGCCTTGCACGGCGGCGGTCCAGTTTTAGCAGCGCCCGCCACTTGACTTTTGGGGGGGATTTTCCGGAGTAGGGTAAAAACGAGGTGCTACCACCACCAAAAGCCTTGCAGCACCTCCGACTCTCCTCCAACAAACACTCGCTGCCCTCCTTCGACTCAGTGTCACGCTCGCACGCGCCGGCGCTCTCGAATCAAGGACCCGTCAAGCGGTGGGAGACTCTCCTTTTTATTGCTGTTCTTGTTTTCCTTTTTTTTTTTATCCAGTGCTTCTCTCTCAATCTCCTTCATCATGAGCGACCCTCAGGCCGGTGAGGCGGAGAAGAACGTAAGTTCTAAAAAAAATTATGAGGCGTACACCAGCGAAAAAAAAAATATTCGTGACCCCTGATGGTGCCCCTCATTACCTTTGCCTACGCTGCCCCGCGTCGGCATCGAGAATTGCAGAGTCATACAGCAGCAGTATCTGACAAGGCCGGAAACAGATCGAGATCTGGAAGATCAAGAAGTTGATCAAGCGCCTCGAGGCCGCCCGAGGAAATGGAACCTCCATGATTTCCCTCATCATCCGTGCGTTTCTGATCTACCGCCGATACCGATCCCTGCGAGCACCCGATCGATGATGCTAACTGCCGCGCAGCTCCCAAGGATCAGATTTCTCGTGTTGCCAAGATGTTGGCTGAAGAATACGTACGGAATAACCCTCAATGTTGGACTTGGGGCCGTTGAAGCAACGGAATACTGACGACCCTACAGGGTACAGCCTCCAACATCAAGTCTCGTGTCAACCGACAGTCCGTCTTGTCCGCCATTACCTCGACCCAGCAGCGTCTCAAGCTGTACAACAAGGTTCCCCCGAACGGCCTTGTCGTGTACTGTGGTGAAATTTTGACCTCGGAAGGAAAGGAGCGCAAGGTCAACATCGACTTTGAGCCTTTCAAGCCCATCAACACCTCGCTCTACCTCTGCGACAACAAGTTCCACACCGAAGCGCTGGCCGAGCTGCTCGAGTCCGACCAAAAATTCGGCTTCATCATCATGGACGGTAACGGCGCGCTGTTCGGCACCCTCAGCGGAAACACCCGTGAAATCGTCCACAAGTTTTCCGTCGATCTGCCCAAGAAGCACGGCCGTGGTGGTCAGTCCGCTCTGCGTTTCGCCCGTCTGCGTGAGGAAAAGCGTCACAACTACGTTCGCAAGGTCGCCGAGTTGGCTGTGCAGAACTTCATCACCGCCGACAAGGTCAACGTTGCCGGTCTCATTCTCGCTGGTTCCGCCGATTTCAAGAACGATCTCAACGCCTCCGACATGTTCGACAACCGTCTGGCGGTCAAGGTCATCAAGGTCGTTGACGTCTCCTACGGTGGCGAAAACGGTTTCAACCAGGCCATTGAGCTGTCGTCCGAGACTCTCGGCAACGTCAAGTTTATCCAGGAGAAGAAGCTCATCGGCAAGTACTTTGAGGAAATCAGCCAGGATACCGGCAAGGTCTGCTATGGTATCGACGACACTTTGAAGGCTCTGGAGCTTGGTGCCGTCGAGACTCTCATCATCTTTGAGAATCTCGAAATCACCCGCTGGATTCTCAAGGACAGCGAGGGCAACGAGGTTATCCTGCACACAACCAAGCAGCAGGAACAGAGCAACCGCGAGAAGTTCCTGGATAAGGCTACCGGTCAAGAGATGGACATTGTGTCCCAGGAGTCGTTCCTTGAGTGGATTGCTGAGCACTACAAGGACTTTGGTACCGCCCTTGAATTTGTGTCTGACCGATCCACCGAGGGCAACCAGTTTGTCAAGGGATTCGGTGGTATTGGCGGTATCCTGCGCTACAAGGTCAACTTTGAGCAGTTGGCAGATCTCGAGGATGACGATGATGACTACTACGACGGTGAGCAAACCTGAGATACCACTGCTTTCCCACTGAGCATAGAGACTGACTCCAAGGGAACAGATTGACCAACCGATTCCCTCGTGGAGAACGAGGGACCTGCTCAAGTCAACCCGTCCGCGCACGACGACAGCGACGCGCCTCGCGACCCTTCGGGATCAGAAGATGTCGCGCCGATGTCATTCGCTCAAAGGCGCTTGATGCGAGGTCCTGGTCGAGTGCCTGCTCATCAGGCCCACCAGGCGACGCGACCAAGTCCGCTTCGCGCAAATATGACGGCCACTTGAGTTTCACAAGCAAAGGAAAAAGAGTAAGCAATGTCAATGTGCTCTCCTGCTGTAGCGTCCTGAAGCTGACTGAAGACCCTTAGCAGGCGTCATCTGCATAGCTGGGACCGGCGTGATGGAATGGGGTAGATGCTGGGAGGCGCCTTCAGACAAGAGGAATATCCGTGCTTACGTGTCCTTACCGTCGAATACTAGAGGTGAACGCGTGGCCTTTGTTGTTACAAAAAAGTTGACATTTCGTTCTTTTGCCCACAGACGAGTTCCAATTGCCATAAAGCCAGTTTTGCAGGACAAGAAAAGGAATAGAAATTCGACGCTCCTTTTTGATAGAAGACCGTATCAAGCCCAAGGGGGCCGCCACGCTATTGCTAGGTACCTTACCTCAGTAGTCTTTGTGTGTGTTTAACAAAACGAAACCGGGAAGATATAGAATGCTCCCAACGCACAGCCGTCGAGTGGAATGTACTTGTTGCTCTATCGCATTCATGTCATCATTGAATGGTCTTTGAACCGCCGGCCTGGTCGTGCTGCCCCTGTTTGTGTGTTGGTTGCAGGCACGAGCAACGAGAGCCTGTGAAACCTACGTCATCAGGGTACTCCAAAGGCTGTGTTATCGATACCGTCACTGTTGGGGAAAGCCGGCGAGCCTCAGTGGTTGGTTGTCATCTCGCTACCCCACACGAGTAATACGGTAGCAGCTCATTGGGGGGTGCCTCTGATACGCCAAGTCCCCTAACTTGTGCAGACCAGATCAAGCAAACATACCGCCATCACAACCAGATCTTTGAAGCGATTTTTCCTTTTTCCTTTCGTTGTACATTATTCTTCCTTGCAAACTAATAACGCTCTCAATGTTGCAGTTCACATAACGACATCACAGCGTCACCATGCCAGAAGCAACTGGCACCTCGGCGGCCGCGCCGAAGCCCGCAGACCGTGCCGTGCCCGTGACGCTCAACGAGGCCGTCCTCGACTCGCCAACCTTCCGCGCAACCGCGACGCACTTTGCCGACCAGGTCGACGCCGTCGAGAAGTGGCTCAACGGCTATGTGACGGCAACGTCGAAGCTCATGGGCGGGCTGCTCTCGCTCGAGGACACCATCAACAACTACCTCTCCAAGACGACTCCCTTTCCCGACAATGTCATCGACAACGACTACACCCTGCTGGCCCTCAAGCGCACCAGCGAGGGCACGCGGGAGCTCTGGACGCAGCTGCTCAGCACGCAGAAACGGATGGAGACCGCCGTCGTCGAGCCGATTCGGTCGTTTCTCACCGGGGAGCTGCGGAACTTCAAGGAGATAAGGAGAAGCTTGGAGCAGACCCAGAGGACCTACGACACGACCCTCGCCCGCTATGTGTCCCAGTCCAAGACCAAGGAGCCGTCCGCTCTTCGAGAGGACGCCTTTTCCGTGTACGAGAACCGCAAGGCGTATATTCAGGCCGCCATGGACTACTGCCAGCTGGCGCCGCAGCTCCGCTTCTCGCTGGACCAGCTCCTCGTCAAGGTCTGCTGCGATATGTGGAAGGAGATGAACCGGGCCCGAGACGCGGCGACTAGTGCTACGCGGTGGAGCCGAGAGCTCGAACGTGTCAGAGGTTGGGCCAAGGAGATGGAGCTGTCGGACAACGTCTTCAGGCGAGAGATGCAGAATGCGAGGAAGAACATTAGCGATGTGACCTTTGAGAGCTTCAGGCCCTCTCGCGAACTCGAGGACTACAGCGCCTCGACCGTGGCCTTTTTGGGCTCGCGCGGACCCGTCAGCGTCCGGCCCAACGACAACGGCGCTGCCATCACCGAGATACAGGGCTGGCTGTTTTTGCGCGTGGCGACCGGCAAGCCTGTCCGATATAACTGGGTTCGGCGGTGGTACTACTGTCGCGATGGAGTCTTTGGTTGGCTTACGCCTGGGCCCCAGGGCGTCCTACAGGGTGACGAGATTGGCGTGCTGCTCTGCAATGTCAAGCCGGCTCCTGGCGAGGAGCGACGATTCTGCTTTGAGCTCAAGACGAAGAGCCGCAGCATGCTGCTGCAAGCCGAGACACAGAAGGAGCTGATGGACTGGCTGGAGGTGTTTGAGGTGACTAAAAAGAAGGCATTTGAAGCTACCATGGACCGAGGCAACAGTCCTCTGGCCGGTGGCGGCATCGACCCGGCGTTTTCGATCTGTGCCCCTAGCATTCCCGAGTTCTCCGCCAAGAGTATTGACGCGCAAATGGGCTCATCCGACGACACGGTGCCGAGCGTAGAGCGCTCAGCTACTCTGGCTGTCCCCGGCGCAGACGGTGGCACATCCGCCCGGCAGAGCTATGATCCTAACGGGACCGTATCTCGTCGATCGATATCGGCGCTGGGGCGCGACCTGGCACGAGAGGAGGGTGAGAGCGGCCGAGAGCACGCGGCGAGGATCATCCAGAAGCTCGACCTTCACCGCAAAGCGACGTTCGGCTCGAGCCCGGAACCCACGCTGACGACGTCCAGCTCGTCCGGCGGCCTGACCAACATGGTTACCGGAAACCAAAGCTCACAGCTCGTGGGGAACTCCCTGGCTCTGACGTCTTCGGGCCAGGCCAAGCTGACGGGCGTTACCCTCCCCCTGCTCGAGAACAAGCCCGGCACGCTTGCGCCCCCTACTCTGGCCCGACCCCCAACAATCACAAGCCTGAGCCGCACCGCCGTGCTCATCGCCGGAGAGCGCGGGCATGTCTTGGAGGGCAAGAGACTTCCGACATCAGTCGTGGCCAACTACTGGGGAAGCAATGTCTGGAGCGCAATGCATGCCGAGCCGGCCACTGCTCCCCAGCTTGGCGATGACGACCCCATTGGCGTCGTGGTGTCTGAGGGCTCGCAGACACCGCTCGGCGAAGCAGCGCAGGCGAAGAAGGCTAGCGATACTCTGCCCGCCGGCTACCCTCCGGAGCTCAAGATACAGCACGCCCAGTTCCGACTCTTGTTCCCTAATGCGCCACCTGAGGAGAGGCTGGTGCTTGTCTTCCGAGCCGCATGGTCGAGCTCGCTGGAGCGGGGCTCCGAAAGCGAGCTGCTTGCCGGCGACGGCAGAATCTATGTGACGGCAGAGAACATGTATTTCTACGGCCAGCAGATGGGCCTGGTCACAGCATACAGCATCCATCTGGACATCATTACGGAGGTGACTGCGGCCTCTGGCAGAGACTGCGACTTCATCTTCTTGCATCTGGGCAAGGACCTCAACGACACAGGGTACACAAGAATAACTATCAAGGTGTTCCTCGATGATCTCCATCTCCTCCACGCTCGTCTCAATCTTCTCGTGGACAACCTGCAGGCGGAAGAGCCGTTGGACACTATGGGGATCATCAACGCTCTGGTCAACATTGACAAGCACGAATACGAGAGGCCCAGCCCAAGCGCGGAGAGCTGGGAAGACGCATCATCCACCACGCCGATGGACGATGGCACAACTGCAGTACCGTTGCTTGAACGGAGCACAGGCGACCTCCCGCACCTGGTGGTTCCGGGAACCACTCCCGGCCAGAAACTGCCGGCAAAGTTGAATCTGCCCAAGCACGAAGTGATCTATGAGCCGGACGATATGACGGAGATGGCGGCCGAGAGGCACTTTGAAATCAGTGCAAAGGCATGCTTCCATGTGCTGTTTGGCGACAAGAGCTTTGTGTTTCCGAAGTTATACTTTGAGCATCGCGCGAAGCAGATTGCTCAGGGGCCGTGGTCGGCCAGTGGCAGTGAGCCCATGCAGCGCGACTTTCATTTCCAGATTGACTACGTGGACGTCTTTGGCCGGTCGCAGACGGCGGACATCCGAGACTCTCAGACGATTGACGTGTTCAACGATCACGTCACGTACGTGGTTACGCATACTAGGACGGCGTGGCACCTCCCCCATTCGCAACATTTCAAGCTGGTGACCAAGGTGGTCATCACATACGTGGCCAAGTCGAGGTGTAAGCTGGCGTTTTACGTCCGTGTCGACTGGTCCAAGTCGTCCCCGGTGCTGAAGAGCCTAGTGGATCGCCAGGCTCTCCACGATGCGATCAGCGATGCCGAGGAGCTGGCGGAGCTGGCCACGGATCAGGTCCACAAGCTGGGGTCGAGAAGCCGCACCAGCAGAGCCATTCAGGTGTATGGCTCGGTAGGCCAGCAGACGCAGACGGTGATATTTTCACCGGCGCCGACCGACGCGAGGAAGAAGCAGGCCATCAAGCCTCGCACGCTCACAGCCATGCTGTTCGAGACGGTGCGTTCCCTCGGCGAGAGCATGGTTTCGTCGGTCATTCTGTGGATCATTGCGGCGGTGAAGAAGATATTTGACGTCGTGACCGCGCATCGACTCCTGCTCCTGCTCTTGGGACTGAGCGTCTTCACCAACTTGATGCTATCGTCCACGGAGTCGTCGACCTGGTGGCAGGAGCGGCGGGCGGCGAACTTTATGCGCCGGATCGGCGTGTCGCCAAACCACATGATGAGCAAGGCCATATATATCGCGGACCTGCACGAGGCTTCCGGGGCCGACAATGAGGAGCCGCCGTTCCCGCAGAACAGCACGTGTTTCGGCACGTTCAGGGAGCTGTTGGACGCCACCAGCATGGATTCGCCATGGCAGGAGGCCGGAGCGTCGCTGTCTCTGCCGTCAAGTCGGGCAACCGCGCGGCGGCTGCGGAAAACGCGGCAGAGGCTGGGTATGTATCGGCATGATTTGCTTGTGGCGATGAGGGTGGTCAACAGCGTTGAGCGAGAGGTGCTGCAGTCGGAGTGGGAGAACTGGCTGGAGAATGAAAAGTCGCTGTGCGATAACTTGGATGAGATGCTGTACGAGGATAAGAGCAAGGGCAGCGACAAGGGCAAGGACACGGCGGACGCTTCGTCGTCGCAGAAGGCCATGGGCTCGATCCCACCGGAACGGAGGAGGGCGCTTGAGGCCTGGCGAGATGACTATTGCGGAAGCTGCCGGAGCGACCACAAGTCTGCGATGCAGGCGAGGTTGAGCAGTCTGTAGTGGTGGTAATTGATTGGGGGCCGTGCTTTGTGTTGAGGCGCGGTCGAATACTATTACATAGAGGGTGTCGGTGTTGGTGTTGGTGCTTGTTGAGGAGCAAGTTATTGCTTGGCTGGCTGGCTGGCTCGAATTACTCGGCGAATTGATTGATGCATTGATGGATCGATGGTTTGTTGACTTTAGATGCTTCACGCGAGGATTGTTCTACTAGTAGGCTTTTGATGTGTGTTGTCGACCCTTTTGTTTTTTTTTTTTCGTTCGCTGTGTTTATTCAATGGGGGGGGTTCTCCATACACAAAGAAGATAGCATGATGTATATACATACGCATTCACTGTTCCTGGAAAGGCCAAGGGTCTGGTCATGTGAAGTAATAACCTGGTGATCAAAGTATATACGATTGTAAAAGAGAGAGATCCGAAATACAACATTGCAAATGCCTTTTGAGTTCGGAGTTGCCGGCCAGGAGTCGGGGTCGGTGCAATCGGAGCTGCGAAGTCCGCAATCTAGATTTCGCAAAGGGGTTGTCTGCACAAGTAAGCCCCGAAACAATACAAATCACGATTGACTTTTTCCCAACCAACGGGCATTGGCTGATTGATGGCCTCTCGTTGGAACCGTGCCGCAATGAGCCTGTGATTATTTATTACGCGATGGCTGCGTAGATCTCAAGTACATACCGCCCGATCGATCCATGAGGTCAAGGTACATGCAATATCAAATCGCAAATCATCCATTCCCCTTGATCTTGCTCGGACCTACCCTGCAAAAAAAAGAGATGACGCAGCAGCGGCAGTCCTAGTTAGGAAGCAAACGTCGACTACTGGCCCCGGACAGCTGGAAAACAGGAGCGGCTTTGGGCGCTTTGGCCAGGGTGACCGCCCGGTGACGTCAATACGCGCAACTGGGAAGCGACAAGAGTGCCTGGAAGATGGAGAGCTGGAATGGAGACGGGAGCCTGAAGAGCCCTGGAATACAGGGGCTGGAGCGCTGGAACGGGGCGCCGCCAGTTGGGTTCCACAGGCGGGTGCTGCCTGTGTCACTACCTAGTACTTGGACGAGGTGTCTATAGAGGTGCCTCGATTACACCAAGGCGGATGACATGATTGTCCCGACCTCACGTTGCTCTTCTCTTCCCAGTTCCCTTTCCCTTATCATCATCTTTCTCCCCCCATCTCTGCCTCTTTGCGAAGCTGTTGAGATTCCCAACCCCCTAATTCTGATTCTGCGTGGCGCATCTGCTGTTCATCTTTGTTTCTGCTGTTCCTCTCTTTGACGCTTCTCCCAAAGCAACCCACAAGCCGGCCATGGCCCATCACGAGCCGCTGCGAGCCCTCGGCCCAATCGAATGGGACCAGGTCCCCGTCGACAACCTCAAGCCCTTTATGAACGAAGCCTTCATCGACGCCCAGACGGTCGTTGAATCCATCCCCTCCACGACAACGGCCTCCGCAACGGGCGCCGCCGCGGCTCCGGCCGGCGCCGTCTTCGAGCAGGTCGAGCGGGCCCTGTCGCAGCATCGCCAGCCGGGCTCGTCGCTGGCGGTCGCGCAGCAGCTGCGCAAGGAATGGAAGGAGGTCAAGATGAACGCAAAGGACAATCCGCTCAACATTAGCGTGTACAAGCTGGCTGCGAAGGACGGCAAGGGGGCGTGGTTTGCGAGGCGCAGTCTGCACCATGGTTTGTCGTTTGATGACTGGAAGATGGGGCTCGAGAAGGAGTTTCCCGAGACGCTCAAGGTGCAGGGGTCGCCTGGGAGTGGCAATATCCGAGGTGTCGGGGCGGATAGGCATGTTGAGAGTCGAGAGGTGGAGGGTTCGGGACGCTTGAGTGGTGAGTATAGATTGGTGGTTGCTTTCGTGTTAATGCTATATGCGGAGTTGGATGCTGACTTCTCTCTAACAACAGTCTTCCAGCTATCGGCGCAGTTTCCTGGTCCTACCGCTCCGAGAGACTTCATCACACTTCTTCTTACGACCGACTTTGAGTACAAACCTGCGGATCAGCAACGACCACTACGGCAGCACGTCATTGTATCAAAGCCGTGCCTCCATGACGAATGTCCGCCGCGAGCGGGAATCATCCGCGGTTCCTACGAATCTGTGGAGATGATCAGGGAGGTTCCTGTCGAGGACGATCAGCTTAGCTCAAAGACGTCATTGCTGTCGACAGACGTCAGCTCTGACGATATTCCAAGCTCTAGTTCCGAGTCGCGCGAGCGCCGACCCATGGCCGTGGAGTGGATAATGATAACCCGAAGCGATCCAGGAGGCAGCGTGCCGCGCTTCATGGTGGAAAAGGGCACGCCGCCGGGAATCGTGGGAGACGCCGCAAAATTCGTCAAGTGGGTGACAGCCCTTGCAGCGCTCAACTCCAAGAGCGCCGAAAGCCTTGTCAAGTCAGAGAGTCCATCCAAGCAAGTCGAGACTCCGACGCCTCAGAATGGCGGCAGTCCGCGGGCGCTTCCCACGCACAAGGCCCGTCCCAGCGAGGACCTCAAGAAGAGCAAGGCAGAAATAGAAGCAGAGAAGAGGGAATCGGTACAGAACATGCCTAGCAGCAACGGCATATACGGCATCATTAGCGGAGTGTTTGGAGCAGCGTCTTCCGTCGTTGCCAGTGGATTGCGAACGCTGGGGAGCCCTGCAGAGAGCAATACAAGCCTGGACGACCTGGAATCCAGGGACGATTCGGAATCTAGAGCCGCCGAAGAGCACGACACAGAACCCGAAATTTCAGATATTAGCGAGACATCTTCCATACGCACATTTAGATCAGCCCTTGAGCGGTCCCTGACCGAAGAGGCACGCACCCAGAGTGTGGCGGGATCGGACGAGTCCAAATCCCATGGAAAGCAGTTGTTGGAGAAGGAGCTTAAGAAGCTGCAAGAGAAGCGCCGAAAGCTAGACGAAAAGGCCGCCCAGATGACGCAGCGCTTGGAGAACAAGCGGCGCGGTGGCAAAGAAAAAGACGAAGCGGTCGTGGCCAAGCTGCGCGAGAAGCACGAGAAGGAAATTGCCAAGCAAGAGGCAAAGTACAGGCGAGAGCTACAGAAGCTCGAGGACAAGCGCGTGCACGAGGAGCGCAAGGCGGAGGCCCGCCGGCAAAAGGCCGTGGAGCGGGAGGAGAAGATGCGGCTGACGATGGAGCTGGAGAAGACGAGGGCCGAGAGGGACGTGGCGCTCAAGAGGATTGAGATCCTGTTGACGCAGGTCGGGCAGCTGCAGACGCAGAACACCATGCTGACGGCTAAGCTGGGGAAGTTGGGGGGGTTTGATAGGCCTGGTTCGACGTCGTCTAGGGGGTCAGGGGTGGAGAGCATGAAGTCGTGATGGGTTTGCTGTTGTCATCGATTTGATGACCAGCGGGGTTGAGGAATTATAAGCGAGAGCAAGCGTGGACTGTTTGGGTATCTGGATTGTTGGACGAGGCATTACGCATGGTAACGGCCTTTCGTCTTCTGTTTCTTCAGTCGAGGCGTTAAAGTTGAGTCTTTTGTATACATTGGCAGCGAGTTCAAGGTCTGGATAGGTATATCTGGGGCGGTTCGGATTAAAGGAGGCTATTATTTGGTTTGCATGGAATATGGATATAAATCAATTCGGTTTCGTCTTGCTATACAAACTTTGTCTATCATGAACATTTCTTCTCTTTTTTCCGTCTAGAGTTCCTTCTTTTCCTGTCTATGCCTCCTCTAGGGGTTCCACGAGTAGTCTCGAAACACGGTGATGACGCGGCTCCTTCAACAATTCCTTGATATCCTGCACAGCCTTGCGTAACCTAGGCGAGCCATGACCCTTATTCAACGTCACCGCGCCGCGAAGAATATACGTCCCAATGGCAAAGACGTGAGCATTCGACGCCCAGCCAAGAGGCCCGTCCTCTTGCCTCACCAACTGCTGCATCTGATCCAGCCCTTTGCCAACCCACTCGTCCAGCTTGTCGAGGATCTTGCCATCTTGCTCCGATGCCTCACCGTCCCACTCGAGGCTTTCGAAGACTGCATTCCAGCGAGTAGCCTCGCGCACCTCATCTACGAAGAGATTCTGCTCCTCCACGGCAAACAGGGAGTCATCCGCCCTGAGCGCGGCACGGAGCTGCTCTTCAGGCGATTTCCATGGATGATCGGCGGCGGCGGCGGCGGCGGCATGGCCTGTGATGCGGCTTGCGACAATGCCCTTGAGCTCGGCGCTGCTGGAAAAGTGCTTGGCGAGCCAGTGGAGGAGGCTGCTGGATGCTTCCAGGGGGGCGAGGTTCTGGCCGAGGATGTGCCTCGCTGCGGTGGATCCTGCTTCGCGGACTTCGTCGTCGTCGTCGTTTAGGACGTCGTAGAGGGGTAGTATCACGGGGAGGTATTCTTCGCTGGTGCAGTGTGTTTTGGTGACGCTGAAGAATGAGCAGAGGGATTGGGCTGCTGCGAAGCGGGTGTCGAAACTCTATATCGAGAGTTAGAACATCAAAATGCTCACAAAGGGGGGAGCGGGTTCGATGGCTACTGACCTTGTCATCTGACCCTGCATCAGCCATCATGGCGCCCCAATTCCGAAGAGCGGACGTCGAGAGGCGCTTAGTATGGCTCATTAGGGCTACCAAGCACCCACTGACTCTCACAATGGCATTGGACAGAGAGGGGTTGAGCGAGCGCTGGGGCAGTACTGCCCACATGCTCAGGAGCGAGTCAATGGGCAGCGAGTCGAGCTTGTCTTCGGCAATAAGCTGGTTCATCAACTCGACCAAGTTCTCAATGGCCACCACTTGAGGCTCCGTAAAGCTCGTCTTGAGACAAGCCTCAATGTACAGATCGCACAGGGCTACTCGAATGGAGTCAGGAGTCGAGGCTGAATGCCAGAGTTTCTGTAACGATTCAAGAGCAGCAACCATGGTGTCGGCGCCGAGGCGGCTGCCAAAGAGGAGAGATTTGACTTCGTCCACGGGGTCGTGCTCCTGTGATGCTGAGAGGATCATGCTGATGATGCTTTGGGCTTTGAGCAACGCAGATACGTTTCTCGTGGGTATCAGGACCTTGGAGGGCTGTAAGGGTTGGGATCTGGATATCTGGGACATCCATATCATGTTGACGACTTCCAGATATGCGGCGATAATCTCAGGGCAGTGCACATATCTGCTGTCAATGTGGCTTGTCTCAAGGAAAGACGTCAAATTGGGCAAGTCAGCTGGGTAACTGTCAGTCAATCTACTGTGTCGTCCATTTGGGTTGAGTCTCGAGGAATGTTACATACCTAATAGACGATCCGGTGCTACTTCGCTGAACCTCTCAATGAGAAACTTGAGTGACAGGAGGACTCCATGGACATGGTTCTGGCCGTTGATGCCCTTGTCGCTCAAAGATTTGGACACCAAGCCTTGCATGACGGCGAGCCACTTGTCGTGGAGCAAACAAGAGCAGAGTGTCCTAGCAGCAATTTCGCGCACATGCCATACAGGGCTCGACAAGTAGGCAGCGACATGGATCTGGATCTCATCCCGAAGAAGGTCAGGGGGTCCTGCCCGACGGATGATGTCCAGTGCCGGGAAGACGGATTCAGCAGACGAAGTGGCATTCGTCGATGTGACCATCTTGTGGCCGGATTTCAAGAGACCTGCCAGCACCGTCGGAAGGTTGGGGTAGCGGTGGTAGGGAATTCTGTTGGCTTTCCCATCCCAGCCTGCTTCGATCATCGCCTTGCTCTCCTGGGATCCGAAGAGACTATCGATCAGGCTGCGAAGGAAAATCAAGCCGCAGTTGCGAATGGCCCAGACCTCGGACCTGAGCCCACTGGCCGCTAGCTCGAGACACTGGGGAAGATATTTCTCGGATTTGTTCCCCATGGATGTCAGCAACGAGTTCTTGAAGATGTCTTTGAGGCAGTTGTAGGCGTGAACTTGAGGCAAGTTGGAGCCGTCTGTTTCTATTACTCGGGCTTCGATGCTTGCGATCTCAATGAGCTTGGCCATTGCGTCTTCGAAGGACGGGTTGGATGCGTTTGCTGAAAGAATTCCAGTCATCATCGAGGGGATTCCAGCAGATCTGCGAGTAGTCGACCTCTGAGTGAAGATCTCGTTCAACGTGCCCTTATCACAATGTGTCAACAGAGCCATGCATAAACGGAACTGATTCGCGAATGAGATCTACTTACCTTGTACCATACGTCGAGTAGGGATTCTCCGCCCTCGACAGAATCCAAATGTTTGGTCAACTGACAACAGGTGGCAAAGGTCGCAGCCACCGTTGTAAACGCACCGCGATGCCTCAGGTTGGCAAGCTGCTCGAATGCCAGGTTGCCAATGGTTTCAAAGGCTTTCCGAGATGGTGTAATGAGTCCCTCGCGGGAGCGATTTCTCATGCTAAGCGCTATTGTTCGCATGAGATTGCTACATCAAAGTTAGCCAAGAACTCAGCAAGTTTCCGAACCTAGTTTGAAGCAGCTTACCTGGACTCATGAATGGCACGAAAACTGTAACTCAAAAGACCCTTTGTATCAAGCCCTTCAGTATCCTCCATCTCTTCTGGGAGGTGCCCCTCAGGAGAGTCATCGCAGAGAACCTCGCGGACAGCTTTCCACACTCGTTCACAGCAGGCGATCATTCTATCCTGCAGTGCAGTCGCAGACTCTGCCTCGAATACTGACAACTTCTTTTCAGACACCGCTTGCCAAGTGAAGCACAGCGATGCAAACGTACTATGCAGCGGCTGCTCCAAAACGGCTTGTCCCAAGTCTGCCTCGGCCCTTGAAACCTTCTGATCCAAGGTGTCGACAAGTTTAGAAAGAAGCCTCAGTCTCTCATCTTCTGTGTCCGAGAATTTGTAGAGCAATTGCGAGGCTCTAGCGACACCGTCAGAGTGATCAGCTCTGGCCGTCCGAACTGACACCTCTTCAGCTCGACGTAAGAGTTCATCAAGCTCCTTGGAAGGCTTCTGGCTCGAGCCTGCGGGGCTGAGAGTGAAGTTTCGATACCTCTTGTCAGCGAAAAGTTGGGCCAGTGCAAGTGAGGCGGTATCCCGAACGTCGTCGAACGGATCCATTACTAGATCAGCAAGCGCTCGCATCCATTTCCCGTCGAAATAGTCAAAGAACAGCTGCTGGTCCTCTTCCGTTTCCCAAGTCTTCGTGCTATCCCCCTCCATGCGAAGTATGGATATCAAGCTTTTCAAAGATGTAATGTGTCGCTGGTAAGAAGCCGTAGGGGAGAGTTCGCCACACAAGAACCGTAGATACCAGTGAAGGAACTTCTCGTGGTACTCTAGGCAGTGCACCAACTCAGATTCTGGCCATGAGATTATATTGGTCCGGTATAGTGCTTGCTTGCTGGCGGTAGATGCTGCGTCTTTCGAGGCGTTCTTTCGAGCCTTTGCCCTGGCTCGCGGTATACTCTTCTTCAAAATCGAGATTGCTCCTCGAACCCGTTTGAACATGTCTCTTACCCGAGCGCAAACATCTACCCGAAACTTGGCATCTGGATCGGCAAAATATGTGGCCAAATGTCTCTTGAGGAGGCCCAGGGTTGTGGCAGAGTATGGCCTCGTCGTTGACGGAGAACTGATGAGGAGACTCAGAGCTGACGTCCGAACTTCGTGAGATGGGTGTGTAAGCACATTCTCAAGGGTAATCTCCCGGAGAGTGATGGCCGAGTTGTCCTCATTTGCCTGGTCGCTGCCAATGTCTAAGCCCAGAGTTAGAACCAACTTTCAGTAAAGACGGCGGTGGACAGTTTCTTACAAGGCTCCTCGACAAGACCAACTTTCTTTCCAGTTTCTAGAGTAGCCAAGGTAAGCAGTGCGCTTGCGTCAAAGTCGTCGTTGGCGGGTGTAACGGCTGAGACTGGTTTTGACTCATGCTGGTTGACTATTTGCAGGAACTTCAGGCCTTCTGGCCTATCGACCTTGAAGAGCGGGAGGAAAATATAGTTTTTGAAGTTTTCCAGAAGAACCGGCTCTTGCGTCAGGAAATCAAGCAGCCATCGATGCCATGTCTCTATGCTCAATCCCGTAGAGTCGTCTTGACCCCTTTGCCTCAGGGCACGGAACAAGCTCACTATGAACTTTCCGGCCGCTGGGCAGATGAAGTGTAATCGGGTCCAATGCAACAATTCTATGGTCAAGAACTTCCATATCTCTATGTCGGCAGCATTAGCCAGCTCCTGGTGATATGAGAGATGGGTAGCTTTGACATGATCCAAGCTGAAAACACCCTTGACGAGGAAGTAGTCAAGGGTCTTGAGGGCCGATTTAGCTACAGGTTTCGTAGAGCGGCCGATTACAATCGAGACTAGGTTATCCAGCAGGATATCCCGCGTCTCCAGAGCCGCCTTTTGATTGGGATTCCGCCGGAGAAGCTGCGCTATCAGGTCCAGGACAAGCCTCATGGATCGGTGATGGTCAAACTCATTCCAATCAATGTAGAAGTCGTAAAGCCGCAAAGTCACATCACGGGAAAACGCCCACAACTGAAGCGGCTCTGACTCAGACTTGGACACCCGCTCTACAAAGCCACAAAGCCGCACACAGGCGTTCCCCGAGACAGATCTAGGCTGAGCGGCTTCTCCCAGGATCGTGTCGAAGATGCTCATAGCATGACTACATACGTCTTAGCAAAGATGAACTACATAGAGGCTGGGACAGTCCGGTGAACTCGCACCTCTGTTGGCTTCCCACGTCTTGCTCCTCAAGCCATTTCATCACCGGCGTTGGATTGCCGAGCAAGTCGACATGCTCAGGGATGCTTTGGCTCGACATATTGGGCGGAATATCTGCCCACGGAGTCACGCCGAGTAAACAAAAAGTTTATGAGAAAAAGACGCCGCCACTTTCAGCATGACAGATCCCAACCTAACTGATGGAGTTAGCTTATTCGTTTTTCGGCCATTACTTGTATCTTTATGACACTGTTATGATGGACAAAAACTGTAAATCTTCAAGTCGAGGTAACGGGTAGGCATTTTCACGTGATACTGCACGTGAGAAAATTTTGCCCTTTGTCGCACCAGCCCCACTGCGAAATCCCGCTCCACAAACAGAAGCACTACGATAAAATTCAACGGCCCCCCCAGAGCCTCTCTGTTCTCGAAATCTCACCAACCACCCCACGTCCAGATCACCATTAGATACGCTTGATTCTATTGGGAGACTGCCAAGATGTCTAAGATCACAGTCGGTATGTGCTGGTCCTTTGCTATGGCATGGAATGTTTGATATACGGCATCCCGATGCTAATGCGTGCCCTCCTCAGCCAACGTCCGGACGCAGGTCGCGGAACTCCTCGAGTACTCCAACGAGACCAAGAAGCGCAACTTCCTCGAGACCGTCGAGCTCCAGATCGGCCTCAAGAACTATGACCCCCAGCGTGACAAGCGTTTCTCCGGCACCATCAAGCTGCCTTCCGTCCCCCGCCCCAACATGTCCATCTGCATCCTCGGTGACCAGCACGATCTCGATCGTGCCAAGCACGGCGGTGTCGATGCCATGTCGGTTGATGACCTGAAGAAGCTCAACAAGAACAAGAAGCTCATCAAGAAGCTTGCCCGCAAGTACGATGCCTTCATCGCTTCCGAGACTCTCATCAAGCAGATTCCTCGTCTCCTGGGTCCTGGTCTGTCCAAGGGTACGTCAAAAGCCAATCCATCAACCCTCACCCAACGTCGCGAGTTTTGTTTTCTCTCTCTCTTCTCACACAGACTAACTCTTTAAACAGCCGGCAAGTTCCCCACTCCCGTCTCCCACGCCGACGACCTCTCTGGCAAGATCAACGAGGTCAAGTCCACCATCAAGTTCCAGCTGAAGAAGGTTCTCTGCATGGGTGTCGCCGTCGGCAACGTTGGCATGGAGCAGGAGCAGCTGATCGGCAACATCATGCTTGCCATCAACTACCTCGTCTCCCTCCTGAAGAAGGGCTGGCAGAACGTTGGAAGCCTTACCATCAAGGCTTCCATGTCTCCCCCTAAGCGCCTCTACTAAACAGGTCGTGGCCTTTTTTTTTTTCTAACCTCTCTTGTTGTGGGGTGGTCAAACTTCATCTGACTCTTTGAGCTATGCGCGACGTTTTGAGATAGCATGGCTTCAATAATAATACCCGAACAAAGGATTTCCAAAGATACCAGCTCTTTCATAATTATATCACCGTGCACGCAGACGTACCTCATACAGAGGTATTCTGTAACCATCCTCGACTTGATAGGATGACGGCCTTCAAATGTTGATGTATGATTTCTCTTTCTTTAACACTAACTGTTTTTACTCGTTTTTGAGCTTACGGTGGGATGCAAAAGATATCTGACCCTTGTCAGGTATACAGAGGACCAAAGGCGCTGCCTAATCTTGTCCTCTGCCCTCTGTCTTGCCTATTTTTTCCCTCTGTAACCTGACAAGGGTCAAACCTCTTTTGCATCCTACCTACTATAGGCCCATCAAAGCTCACAGCTTTTCGTGACTCGCCAAGCAACAAGCCCCCGGCGGCCAATGACCCTGGAAAGGGTGTTCCAAACCCCATCGTCCCCGAAATCCAGATCATCCAAGTTGACATGTTTCCTATACCGCCACACTTCCCGAAATCGCAGCCCTTCAAGCCCCTTGTTGGGGAGATAGGGGTCCAACCAAGTTGCTGACGCCGGCGCGATTAGGTAGGTGCCGTTCTTTTCCTTGAGATACTCCGTGTTGCGCCGGTCTGCAGGAGTATCACATGTGGCCAGCTCGGTCAACAGGTCCAGTAACGCCTCGCCCTTCATTCCCATGACATCCTTGGTGGTCAATACTTCGTTTTTGCCATTTAGGAGCCAGATTGGGGGAGAGTAAGTCTTCCACCATACGGCGGTTGTGGCGTCAGGCTGCTTGCTCAAGAAGACTTGTCCGGGAATGATTCCCCCTTGGTGATATGTTCCCATGAGCACGCCCAGCAACAGATTGAATACAACCCAGATTGCGATCCATAGTCGACGGAGAGTCTGACTCCTTGGCAGCTTCAATGATGAGAGTATGAGCGGCACGGCTGGGAGAAGAAACCGCGCTTCTTGGTGCTGAACGAAAGAAAGGGCCGCGATGCCCGATATAGCCGACCAGAGCCTCAGAGAGACGTAAGGCCGTAAGAACATCAGCGCCACTGCAGGTCCGATAAGCTGCGGCAAGTTTGCGACGAGGTGCTGGTACCAGGGATGTAAGCCATGGAGGGCCAGGTTCTCCGGCGAAGAATTATAGACAAGATTGTTCAGAGGAGTGATGACGGGGTGGGTAATGAGGTCGGACCACGTAACAGTTCCCGGTGTGTAGAAAGCAGTGTCGACCGCAATGGCAGTACAAGCTGTGACAAGGGCCGCCAAAACCAGAGCCGCCAAAGAGAGAGGCCTGGGAAAGTCAGTTGCTTTTCTTCGAGTCACTGATATGCATGGGAAAAGGACGCACTTCTTCCAGTAGTAGGGCACAAGCCAAAGCCCGGGTATCAGCAGAAAAGCAGGAAAAGTGATGCGGTTGAAGGTGCCAAAGACGACGACCATGCCCAACACCACCGAGGATAAGATGGACGACTGTTGCAGAGGATCAGCATGGTGCTGAAAGCAAGGGGGGCAGACTGCTGTCAGACTTACATGAGGAGAGGTGATGCGCCCTATCAACACCAAGCTCCACAAAACAGCCAATGTCTCAACCGAGTTGGAGAAAGTATGCGTCTGGAAAGTCCACGTCACGTACGACGACGCCACGAGGAGAACGGCGATGGGGCGATGGCGCGTTGAGGTGATTTGCTCCTGGAGCGCCCAGTACTCAAGCACAAAGCTCAGCAGGAACATGAAAAACCTCAGCGTCCAGAAGACGGCGATAGGGGGCACCTGGCCATCCTGCCCGTTCCCAACCCAAAGCCACTGCAGCAGAAGCATGGGCAACCCGTATACGGGCCATAGCGGGAAGACGCTCCGGATTGGGTTCTCGCTGGTAAATTCCCATGTGTGCCGGACAGGGTAACTGAAGATCTGGCCTGTATGCAGCAGAGGATCAAGTCAGCCACCCAGAACAGTTACGCCACAATATTGCTTCAGCCTTGCGTGAACGAGAAGCCTGCAATAAATCTCTCTAGCGGCGACCTCGCCGTCACCGAGGGGCTTGAGCCAAATCCGAGGCTTCCATGACGGGTGGCGGTTGACCCCGTTCAAATCTTACAACGGGTGTCCGAGAAACGTACCTGCGATTACTTCCGGCCCTTGAAAGTTCTCGTCAGGATGAAGATAGCTGGGCGACAGGGCGAACCATAGTCTGACGAGGACTAGGAGGAGATACGTGCGCCGCCACATCTGATTACGGCTGACTGCTTAGAAGACGGCGTTGGTGGATCAAGCATGAGCGTGAGAAAAAGTCCGAGGTGATAGAAAAAACATGGGTGAAGTCGCAGAGAGATGTGAGGCAAGGTGCTGATGCGCTGGCTAATGGGCAGGCTGAAAGAGAAAAGAGAAAAAAGAAGACAAAGAAAGAAAGGGGATTACGAGGAGTGTGGTAGCACCATAATAGGGGGGAGAAAAAAAAAAAACAAAGGTAAATAACAGGTAAGTTGAATCGCTTGGTGTGGATTTCGAGAAGGGATGCTGCAGATAGAGGCTAGAGGTGGCCGGATAGCGAGTTGACCAAGCTGGCAGAAAAGCTTCCTATGCGGCAAGGCTCTGTCGAACAGCGATCAAATAGAGACGGCTATGGCGCTCCAGGGCGTGAATGATGAGTGAAGGAAGAGGAAGAGGATAGTTGTGGCAGTTCCTGCGCAGACGCGTGCAGGTTGAGAGGAACGCGCCAGAGGGTGTTGAGAAATGCTACTAAACCGGAGCAGGTGGTCAGACGAGGCTGATGACCTCACGGCTGAGACCCGAGACCTGGGACTTGAGACTCGAGTGATGTGCCTGACAATGAGAATGGAGGGAAAAGGGGGGCATGACCTCAGTTGGCCTTTTTTGTTTGGCTGCTTTCGTAATCACTGGGTTGTTTGACACCAGACACACATATATGATTCAACTAACAAAGGCGAGAGTGCATTAGATGACCCTTTTTGTTGAGGCATCATCGCGTTTCAGCCATCAACAGCCGTCAATGCAAGAATCGCGCTGTGCGAGGAGAGTAATATTACCGCCTTTGACTCCTTCCTATGTACTCTCCTATCTTCCTTCAATCTGTTCCTATAATTCAGGCATCGTTCCTATCTGGCACAATTCTTCACGTGGGCCAGGACTTCACAGCCACTTGATGAAGCTGTTTATTTGAGGATCTTTGTACGGAATATTGACGTAATATGGGCACCCAGAGTAAAACAAAGAGAAGGCGGGGAGAAGCCTTCAATGAATGAGTTTCGGCTAGGTGGAACGAAGGGTGAGATAGGTATCGAACCGTGACGACGGTCATTCGTGCTGCCTGGGTATAACAGTAGGCAGACGCGGACAGCCCAATCGTAAGGGACCTGGACCCGGAGAATGAGCTGTCGACGAAGGCGGGAGTGACTCGAAGAATCTGAAGGTTCTTGAGGTTCGAATACCCAGGCTGCTGTATCCTCAATGAAGGGAAGGCCGCCTGTCATTCAAATAGAAGCACCTCGTCGAGCCCAACATAGACCGGCATATTGACAGCATAAACCTGCAGTACCTGAGGTGCCTTATTATGACCAGGATATGTGTATCTTTGGTACTTCGAGGCGTTGAAACCTTAGATACAACTCATCGAACCGAAAATTGCATACTATACCAGAAATCTTCCAGAAACGAGTTCTCCAAAATACATGAAAGCAAAGAAAAGAAGATGTTTCCATAGCAAGACGTCTCTCTTTGAGAGTTTTACCTCATCGGCGCACAAGCTTCGTTGGGCCTCAAAGCTCAAAGGCCCTTTTTGACAGCAATCGAGGCTCTGGCGCAGCGTCAAGCGGGAGGCGGTACGTACCTACCACATCCGCCACAGCAGCAGCAGCAGAACCCCGCAGAATAGCAGAGCGCCTGCCTGCCACTGGAGGCACAGCGTCCGTGCCTGGCCTCCGGTTCAGCTCAGCGTTACCTATTAAATCCTCCCTTCCTCCCTTGCCGGCTGCCTTTTTTTCGCATCAGCATCAGCATCAACAAAACAGCCTCCTCAGACTCTCGATCCCGGCGCTTCGATCTCCATCATCTGCATCTCGCGCCCGTTCAGCGTCGCCCCGCTACACCGACCGACTTCTATCTAAGCTGCTACAACATCATCGCCACATCATCCCTCACAATGGCGGAAGCAAAGGCTGCGTCCCAGAAGATCTGGCTCGTCTCCAACGACAATGCCACCATGGAAGTTGGTACGTCTTGCCTCTCCTCGCTCCGTTCGTCTGCCGTGATGGACTGTCACTAATGCTCGATACCAGACCGTTGCGTGGTCGAGCGCTCCATGCTCCTGAAGAACATGCTGGAGGACTTAGGCGGCGCCGACATCAGCCCCGAAAACCCCATCCCCATCCCCAACGTAAGTCGTCTATTTCATGCCATGGCCATCGACGTTCTCCTCCTCCTAGGAAACGCTATTGACAGCGAGACTGCAGGTCAACGAAGCCGTGCTGCGAAAGGTTGTCGAGTGGTGCGAGCACCACCGCAACGACCCCGTCACTGCCCCCGATGACGAGTCCGATGCCCGCAAGAAGACGACTGATATCGAGGAGTGGGACCAGAAGTTCATGCAGGTGGACCAGGAGATGCTCTTTGAGATCATCCTGGTACGTGATCATTCCAGCCTCAACAGCAATGTCGTGTTCGCAACTAATCACAGTCCTAGGCCTCCAATTTCCTGGATATCAAGCCCCTTCTCGATGTTGGCTGCAAGACCGTGGCCAACATGATCAAGGGCAAGTCTCCCGAGGAGATTCGCAAGACTTTCAACATTACAAACGACTTCTCCGCCGAGGAGGAGGAGCAGATTCGCCGCGAGAACGAGTGGGCTGAGGACCGATAAACGGACCGTCTACATTGGCGCTTCAGTGCTCTTCATCTTTGTTTTTGTCTCGGTGGAGAGCAGCAACGCGGATCGAGTTGCTTCCGCAGCTATTTTCATAGAGCAACCTACGGCGTTGATGGGAATTAATTGACAGGGCTATCGGTTTCTCTTTTCTCTCGACTTTTCTGGTATTCGTTTTTTTTTTCTCTCTCTTCGGGTTAACGTTTGCGGGGCTCGAGTGTACAATGACTCAATTCGAACACTTTTCATGAGTTGGGGAAGAGGCATGTCTTCTAGAATTCAAGACATTTCACAGGCGACCCCGGTTATCAAAAAATATACGGTTTGCTCTATCATGTGATTCTACCTGTAAGGACAGTTCGTGCCAGCCCCATACAGGAGACTACGTAGGTACTAGGGACTCCGTCAACCTCGAATTTACGGCGTGGTCAAGCTGAATGCGAACTTCGGTCTTGTGATCTGCTCGAGCTTCAGCCTGCCGCGCATTGTGCTAGATCGATCAGTACTAGGTAGTGAACAGAATATGGCGTGGGTTGATAATGGCCAAGCCTACGCAGCAATCCTCGCACGACGTTCATTCACACAAAACAAACATCAGTAGCTGCAGCTGCAGCGATGAGAGCAAAGAAATGCAGGCCGTACGAAGAGATGTGAATCTTTGTGGGGAAAAAAGCCGAAGTGGCATCAAAATAGGTTCATTCCTTTCCCTATGACCGACCGTGACATGAAGCAATATCAAGAATCAAGAAACCAGGCAACCGTGCCCATTCCATGCATCTGCATCCTCCTAGACCCTTCCCCTCCCAACACGCCTGAAAAAGAAAAGACGGGGGGAGAAAGAAGTTGTTTTCTTCATTGGAAACCCCTTCCTATACCCATCACCACACTAGGACCATGCCAAAAGATGAAAAACCGCTGCTGGAGGTCGGGATCGTTCGGTGCGAGATAAGGGGGGGTTCTTTTGTTTTCGAGAATGCCGGATTGGTTTTTTGGGTGAAGTTGCTTAGATGCCAAGGCGGGTCTTCCTCCAGTGCCTTCTCTTGGCGTTGTAGCTGTACGAAATGACTTGTTAGTATTGTGCCTTGTCAATCTGAGGTTTGTTGTTTGCGAGAGGGGAATGATTCGGATGGTCTGAAGGATGTCGCAAGATCGGGTGATGGGTTTGATGGTGAACGTCGGGATTCGTCGTGATGACTCGAGGAGAGGGTAATTCGAGTTTAGGGAGAATGAACGCACCGGATGGTGTTGCCAGTGCGAAGGCGAATCCATTGCGGAACCGGGCGGTTCTGCTTCTGGGCCTTGGCCAGCTTCTGCTTGGTTCGGAATGTCTTGTGGCTCTATAGATTCATCTCGTCGTCAGCTTCTTTCGCTCTGTAACAGCATTCGAGCCTCCGTTTCCCCCTTCATCGGCTTGCGTCTTTTCCCATTTTCCCCTCCAAAACGTCCTGCAGCCACTCGGTCGGATCTCGCCTGAAGTGTTTCCAACTGCAGGCCGCGCGCCCGGGGGGGGGAAAATCGAGAAATTCGCTCCTTTGAAAGACAACTCGGCGCCTTCTATCAAATCAACGCTGGAGGGAGAGAGAGGGAGCTGCCATACCGCCATCTTATTGACCTTGCGTATCGAGTCTGGTGATGATGACGATTTTCGGGTGATGTTGAGAATGATAGTAGGTTTTGCGACCCGCATCCGAGGAGGGCGTAAAGCCCTAGCGAGAAAAATTGCAAGACCTGACTTTGTGTGGGTTTGTGGCTGGTGCAGTGTGTGGCGCAAGCGATGTTTCCTGCCTGAGGCAGAAAGAGCGGCTGAGAAATCGAGCTTGAAGGGAGGGTCTTGTTGGAGGATTACCTAATGAGGCTACGATGAAGGTAGTAGACAGAATAAGCTAGACGGGTTCGGGGGAGGGTGTTGAGAATGAGCATAGCAAAAGTGCATCTATCGCAAAGCCGACTCTGGCACTTGTCTTGACCTACTTGATGGCCCCTTCCAACTGTTGCGGCCAGCTCAGATTCAATTTTCGGTGTAGCGAGCGCAGAAGAGGCTTCAACGGCATCAATCTGCGTACCCATACCTCGTGCAACATCAAGTGGTCAAGTGATGTGAGGCTGCGTGAGATTAGCCTTACCTTTTTGTCTAAGCGCGCGGACCAACCAGAGGCCGCCGTTGGCAAGGACATCGCCTCTAGCAAACGCCCTGCTGCCAAGATGGGTGCAGATGGGCTCTAGAAGTCTCCGGAATAGGGGACAGTTTGTAATTGTTCACTTGTCGCAAAACAACATTCCAACGAAAGCCTATCCCACACACACGCGACAACTCTTCAACGACTTACATCCCGGCGTCCTGTTGCGTGTTGCTCATTCTCTTTCTTGTTCGTATCTGGCACCATTGGCGTATATTCGAGGGAGCAACAGTTGTCCCCCCCCGCAAAGTGCACTGCTGCGCGAGAGCGGAACGCGAAACGTTGTTCATCTACCACGGACGAAGCGCAGCGGGTTTCACAGAGCTTCGGACTTTTTCTTTTTTGTTTTTTTCTAAGAATTCACGATGGGCGCGGGAATGTCATGGTTGACCAACTTGGTCTGGGCAAAGAAGGAGATTAGAATCTTGATCCTGGGCTTGGTATGACGTCGTGCAGTGGCTCGGACTGCGATGTTGGGATGCTAATACCTGGCTGCGACAGGACAATGCTGGCAAAACGACGCTTTTATACAGATTGAAGGTGCGCATTCACGAGGCTGCACATATCATTGAGCGCGTGCTGACCTATTCCCGAGGATTAGATTGGAGAAGTTGTCACGACCATACCGACGATCGGGTTCAACGTCGAATCAGTCACGTACAAGAATCTCAACTTCAATGTTTGGGTATGGACTACGACTACGAAACACACGTGAAAGAGAGGAATCGCCTCTTGCTAACATCCACGTCTTTCTCGCTTCCAGGATCTGGGTGGTCAGACTAGCATCAGACCATACTGGCGGTGTTACTATGCCAACACGGCTGCCGTCATCTTCGTCGTCGACTCAACCGACATCGACCGGTTACAGACGGCCGCAGAAGAGCTGTCGGCCATGCTGAACGAGGAGGAGCTTAAGGACGCGGCGCTGCTGGTGTTTGCCAACAAGCAGGACCAGCCCGGCGCCAAGGGGGCGGGAGAAATCTCAGAAGCGCTGCAGCTGGGCGAGCTGCGGGACAGGAATTGGAGCATCATGGCGTGCTCGGCGGTCGATGGCAGTGGCGTGAATGAGGGCATGGATTGGCTAGTGGTGAGTTATTCTTTCTGGCCATTGATCATTGATGATTTCGTTGGGAACCGAAGCTAACGATTCACGTCTGATTTAGCAAACCGTGAACCAGGATAACTGAAACACACAAGAGTCTACGAAACAATAACGACGCATGAGGGGGGGGGGGGGGGCGTACGCCCTTTCTTCTTTCACTACTGAAACACAACTTGTACAACAAACGATAAGATGATGGCAACGACGGCCGGGTTTCGTCGTATCTGAGCGGCCAACGCTACACTGTGACAGGGACAAGGATGTGCAAGGAACGCCATACCTGCCCATATAATCGGCGGATGATGGGCTCGGAGGAAGTCAAAGCATACGAACGGCGGCAATATGCAGTTACTACCATTTAATTCTAGACTTGGGATACGCGTCAGTATCCCGTTTCGCTTCTCGACTTTGAGCTTAGTCTGGACACCCAACTTGGCTTCACCGCCCTCGTAAGCTCAGACCTACCTGATCTGCAGCGCTCATCAGCCTCGTTGAGCTTCTTTGAGAGACTGCGAAATGTGTGGTTTGTGCTGAACCCCAATCCGGTGATTTAGAGCTGGTGTAATAATACCACCTGCGAAGGTACCTACCTTCCTTAGACAACGGTACAGTGCAGTGGGTATTGGGCATAGCATCCATCAGACAAGCCGTGAACACGGCCACTCGGACTTTGGCGAATATACATGTCAGAACAACCTGTCAAACCGTCTGTAGACGAATATCCAGCCCATACAGAGCCTGCTACTCTGCTGTAGACCAAGATCGAACAAGCAATGTGGAGGGGATGTTTCTACATTGCTGACTTGTCACACAACCATTGAGCTGTATGTAGACGCCAGCGCCTCACTAACCGGGCGTACAATCATCATTCATCAATAATTAGCCCACATTGGAACGCCCATTGATATATGATAATACCAAGTCTTCCATCAAGTCTTGGACCGATGCTGTGATTACGGTAGATACTTTACGCACTACGATCATGAACGGACAGGTGACCACGCGTCCCGGCTCGGACACCGAGACGCGAGGCGCGCTATCATGCTCGATCCAAAAGTCATCGGGAGCGGGAATGGGGCGATGACGGGCGGCGATTGCGGCACCTGCGGAAGAGGAAGGCCATGGCGAGCCCCGCTTGGAAGCTGAAATATCAGGCGAGATATGAGATTAATTGACTCATACATAGACTGAAGAAGTGGCCCTTATAGTAAGGCAATATTAACCAGTTGCTGGAGTTGTTAAGAGAGTTGAGATGTGACGGGGAACCGCAAAGTGATGCGGGTACAGTAGGAACATGCGATAGGATATCAGATGGCCGGTTCATGACATCTGCAAAGTTCCGATCCGGCCAAGCGGATAGACGCAGCTTCCATGACAGAATCCTGGCCCGGAAGAGAATCTGATACGAATGTAGATAGATTCCCTATCACGGAGCACGGCACAGAAGAGAGAGGGTCTTTACAAGTTCAGGTCAACTCAGCCCAGCTCCGGCTCCAGAAGCCCGCGCCGTGTCCCGGTCGAGGGGGAACCGACTCCCGCTTTGCTATAGAGGGCCTCTGATTGGCTTCTCTTACCCCACACTGAGCTAGCCCAGCGGGGAAAGATCGAGCGAGCCGGCTCTTGCTTTCCATCAGGTTGCCAAGAAATGTACTGCGCAAGCATGTACCTCGTATGCGCGTGTTGGCAGACCCAGATACCTGCAATGCTTGTCGGTCTGTTGCCCTGACGTAAGGAAGGTAGATACCTAGGAAGGTAGGGCGTGGATCTTGGGTCGAAAGTCAGGCACGCAAGCTCTACCTACCTAGACAACATTGAACGCTGGGCACACTTGGATACAAGTGTGGATGAATGATACAGAAGAGCGTCTCGGCAGTTCTCTTCATGCACACTGTATACAGCATCTCAAATAGGTCACTAAGAGGGTACTTTTCTATATGCCCACCTAGGTATTGAAGTACTCAGAATGACAAAAGATGCCCAATTGTCTGGGTAGGAAGTACTACAAACTTGGGTAGGTACTACCTAGTAGGTAGGAACCGAAAGTTAGTTCCATACGAGCTACTTTATGTAGGTAGGTAGGGCAAGCACAAGCAAGCAAACACGAACAGAAGAGGCTGGATGAAGGCAGGAGGGGGGAGGGGAAGGAAGGAGGGAGGGAGGGAGGGAGGGTCCGTCCATGTAGTATGATGTAGGTACACTCCCGCCAGCTGCCGCGTCTCAACCACCCAGAGCTCTTGCATTTCAACCCATCTGGCCGTGGATGCATGAACTCGCTGCTCTCTGACAGGCTTCGTCTTACATGGGGCTCAGAATCAATCACCCCACCAACTACGCTCACTCCTCTCTTTCTCCTCTTTCGCGCTCTCTCTCTACTGTATGTGTCAGTTGATCTGTGTGTGTGTGTCCTGTCCGACGTATAAAGAGGCATAGCATTCTCAGGCTACAGTGCCTTATCCTGTTCCCCTCTACACTCCCCTCTCTTCTTCCGTCTCTTCTTCCGTCTCTTCTCCTCCTCCTCCTCCTCCCAGCCCTTCCTCTTCCTCGTGCTCATCGTCTACCCTCCTCCTCCATCATTCCCACTCTACCAATCCCTCCTACCTCATTCCAAGATATCGCAGAGTAAGTTGCCTGTCATCGTGATTCCTCCTAAACTGTACTGCCAGTAATCCATTCATAGATAACTAACATCATCTCCCAGCACCCACCGACACAATGGTCGCCAACGACACCCCGGCTTCTACCTTCCGGTACAACGAAAAGCCAGTCTACACCACCTCCAATGGTGCTCCCATTGACAACCCCGAGGGCTGGCAACGCCCCGGCACCATTGGACCTCTGCTTCTCCAAGACTTTCACCTGATTGACGCCCTGGCTCACTTTGACCGTACGTTTTCACCATGACTGTTTCCTCTCTCCGCATTCTTCTACCTCAACCCCCCTTCCAATACTCATTTCTTGGCTATACTCTCATGTGCCCTTAGCAAGTGACGCTAGAAAACTAACACTTGATCTATAGGCGAGCGTATTCCCGAACGTGTCGTCCATGCAAAGGGGGCTGGGGCATACGGCGTCTTTGAAGTCACTCATGACATCACAGACCTCACCTCCATCAACATGTTTGATACCGTCGGAAAGAAAACCAACTGCGTTGCGCGCTTCTCGACTGTCGGCGGCGAGAAGGGTTCTGCCGACACTGCCCGTGACCCTCGCGGCTTCGCCATCAAGTTCTACACAGAAGAAGGCAACTGGGACTGGGTGTATAACAATACCCCCGTCTTCTTCATCCGTGATCCTACCAAGTTTCCACTCTTCATCCACACTCAGAAGCGGAACCCCCAGACGAATCTGAAAGATGCCACCATGTTCTGGGATTATCTCTCCACCCACCAAGAGGCGATCCATCAAGTAATGACTCTCTTCTCCGACCGAGGCACCCCCTACTCCTACCGGCACATGAACGGATACTCTGGTCACACTCACAAGTGGACCAAGCCTGATGGATCGTTTGTGTACACGCAGGTTCACCTCAAGACCGATCAGGGCATCAAGACGTTCACCGGCGAAGAGGCCGCCAAGATGTCTGCCGAGAACCCAGACTGGAACACTCAAGACCTCTTTGAGGCTATTCAAAAGGGAGACTTTCCCAGTTGGACAGTCTATGTCCAGGTTCTCACTCCTGAGGAAGCTGAGAAATTCCGATGGAACATTTTTGACTTGACCAAGGTTTGGCCTCAGAAGGACGTGCCCCTGAGGCCCTTTGGCAAGTTCACTCTCAACAAGAACCCCGAAAACTATTTTGCCGAGATTGAGCAACTCGCCTTCTCTCCCTCGCACTTGGTTCCCGGCGTTGAGCCTTCCATCGATCCTGTGCTGCAGTCCCGACTGTTCTCTTACCCTGACACTCATCGTCACCGCCTTGGCGTCAACTATCAGCAAATCCCTGTCAATGCGCCTCTCAAGGCATTCAACCCCTTCCAGCGCGATGGTGCCATGGTCGTCAACGGCAACTATGGTGCCAACCCCAACTATCCCAGCTCCTACAGGCAGCTGACGTACAAGGCTGTCAAGCCCATCGTCACGCATGAGACCTGGTCTGGCCATGCCGTCCATGAGCTCTTCCAAGACGTCAACGATGATGACTTTGTGCAAGCAAAGGGTCTCTGGGACGTCCTCGGTCGCACTCCCGGGCAGCAAGACAACTTTGTCTCGAATGTCGCCGGCCACTTGTCGGCCGCTCATCAAGACACCCGCAACAGGACATATGCCATGTTCACGCGTGTGGACCCTGGCTTGGGGGCTTTTATTCAGGAGTCGACGGAGAAGCTTGTCAAATAGCTCAAGTCAGCGTGCTGACGGGGGATTGATAAGATTGTATATACGTGCTGAGGGGTTCAGCTCTGGAAACTTTACGATGTCATGTACTTGGCCTATTAGGAAACGAAAATTGATGTGTATCTTGCTCGTTGTCAGATTCGTAGCTGGTGACCTTTGCCTGTGATGGACTTTGTATTGACTTCGCGGCTCGCGAGGATGCTGAGCAAGTCCCGCAACGGATGAGCGTATCAGATTTCATTAATAGCATCCAACTGTAGCCTGATTCATCCACGTAGGATATGCTTTTCGAGAAGATACTGATCAGTGTCAAGCCTAACTGTTATTGAAAGCAGTAAAAGGAACATCAGGAAGCGACATCACAGTACCAGATGAGAGAGAATCAGGCATTCCTTTTAGATATATATATTTTACCAAGTTGAATCAACTACCTAGTAGTACTGCCAACGACAAGAAAACGAGCAGGGACCCTTTTCCAGCAGTGCGTGACATTGCGTGCGAAGCATCTCCGCCGCCTGGGCGAAAGAAGCCATTTGTCCTTCATTTGTTACAATATGGTTATGAGATCATTTTTTTTGTTACCCCCCGACAAGTGATTTCCTCCCCATTTTCAAATTTTTTTTCTCGCACGCATTGAATACTATATCCAGCACCTCTGGTGCAATCCCAAGTGCCCTTCCGTTTCCCTGCGGAAGAGCCCAGGAGTGAGTCCGGGACAGCCAGCAAAGCACAGCGTTGCTGACAGCCTGGCTCACTCGCCTGGCATCGCGCCACATCCGCTTCGACGCCTCCCCGGATATAGATCCAGTCTGTCTGAAGTGGCGATCGCAACGGAAGTGGTGTGTAGAGAGATGAGCTACAAAAACCGGTTTGCCTTGATAGTGCCCAGTGCCATCAACACAAGCCCTTGTTGTCGCGTCGACAAGTGACCAGGGGGCACGGCTCTTTGGCGCGCTGTAGCCGTCCCCCCTAATCGGCATGTGAGAAGGTAGAGTCGGTTGAAATTTCTGGCTGGGAACATATCGCGGCGAAACCGGTGGAGCGGAAGAGGCGATGCACTCGTCTCTGCACAGCAGAGACAAGGCATCAAGCCCACCCTATCGTCGTCTTTCCAGGGAAGCCGACATATTCCAGATATCTCAGCGCCGTGATCGCAATGCGCAATGATGTGATATTGATGGTTTGACGTCGTCCCAAGAGGTGCGAAGGATCTGAAAACCAGTTCAGAGCCTGTGAGTCGGTGTTGGAAACGAACCGTTGAGCCGAATAAAACCGTTGTCGTAAACTGAGTACTTGATTCGAAATGAGGAAGTGATCCATCCCAGCGTCTAGCGGGAGTGATCAAAGCTTTCCATGTCTTCAAATTCGTGTCGCGTACCCGTGAGTCTATTCGTAACTCATTCATGTCGTCGTCAAATGCTTTTTTTCGTGAATCATTACGCAGGTCAGGATAAGGTAAGACCAAAAGAGTGAGTGGCCCGAGATGTAACTCTCAGGCACCTCACGTCCGAGAGGGAGATCTTCCGATGTCAAAGAAAAGCCTGCCCCAAGTGCCTCGAGAAAGAGGCGAAGGGGGATGAGAAAAGAAGGTGAAGGAATCAAATCCAATGGAGGTCTCGGACCGTGCCGAGTGTTGTGCATTGCTGCAGTCGCCTCTTATCTTTAACCCAATGTGTACCAGAGAAACAACAAGAAGAACAAGGAAATGGAGAAGAGAATGTCGCAAGCCGCTAGCTTCTGTGCCGAAGAAAGAGTCCCCGCCCGGTTGAAGAAAACAGATCCAGAATTGCCGCCTCAGATCCAGCCGTGTTGGTGGTATCGTGTAAAGGAAATGAACAAGTAGCCCAAAACAGAAGGCCGAGCTTGCGGCCATGACGAGACGGATGATCAAGTTTTCTGGACTGTCAACGAGAACTAGATTCGAAACCATGTGCACGCTTGCTGTGTCGCCGAGAGCAGATTGAAAAGCCAGAACGAGATGAAAGATGAAAGAGAAAAAGCAAAGGAAAAGTAGGAAATGATTAAGGGTATTTCCTGGAAAAGAAAAAGAAGGATATTGTCGAGGTATTGGAACTCCGGTCCTGATGCAACAAAACGCCTATATGCCTTTGACATGGTGTGTTCTATGCCGATGAGAAGTGATGACTCTTTGCTTTTGTTTGTCCGAGGGTGGGGTGCTCGTTTAGCCGCAAACCGTTGGCGGGACGGGTATCAAGAAGTCGGTTGTCGGTCGCGGGAGTGGCTGCAGCCTCACATGATGGTGGCGTACTCGTGGTAGCGGTCCCAGCCGAAGCCACCGATGCCCATGCCCAGACTGACTCCGCACTGTGAAGGTGCGAAGACGCTGGGGAGAGGAAGCGCCGGGATGGGTGCCATGATGGGCGGGCTGTAGAAGAGCTCGGCGGTGGTCTGCGGCAGGCTGAACGAGGGCGTCGGGGAGGGCAGCTGGCAGTCGCTCATACCCATGTTGGCCCAGAGGGGAGTGTGGCTCGAGTCGACAGACGAGGTGACGCTGGGACTTGAAGGCAGCACCTGCCAGGGCTCAACGGCCGCGGGGATGATATGAGGAGGAGCCTGCGTCCACATGTTGCCGAGGGGAGAGCTGGGCAGCAGAGGTGGCTGGCGAATGACCTCGACGACTCTGGGCGGGGGAGGCAGAAGCGGCTTCATCAGGTTCATGATGCTGGCCTTGACGTCCTTGCTCTTTCCGTTGAGCAGCTCGCCGGCACCCTCCTCCTCGAGACCCTCCAGGGCGGAGACGTCGGCGCGGAAGACGAACTTGTTGATGGCCTGGACAAAGTCTTCGTGCAGCTTCTTGCACTGCTGCTCTTTCTCGGACCAGTCGTAGGTGTTGGCCTTTGCGTCGACGCAGTGGACCTCCTTGTGGTACTCGACGAGGGCATCAATGGTGTCGGTGGTCAGCTTGAAGGCGACCTCGTTGCGCAGGACCATGTCGACGTGGACAATGTAGGCCTCGACGTGGAAGAGCTGGTGGCTGAAGAGGTTCTCCGTGGGGTCTTCGGGCATCTCGGCCTGGGGCAGCTTGGCGAGCATGATTGAGCAGAGGGTCCAGATGGCGTTGGGTGATGACAGAAGCTCGGTGAGGCATCGCTGGTGCTGGGGGACGCTGTTGAGGGGGCGCTTGACCCGGTTGACACGCTTGAGCGTCTGTGTAAGCCACGGCTCGACGCGAGAGCCCAGGACGACGTTGACGGATGAGGCCCGCGGGGCAAAGGCCGCGGCCGAGGCAGGGAGTAGCTGGACCGGCATGTTGTTGTATGGACGAGGAGCACTGTGACTTTTTTTTTTCTCTTGTCTTTTGGTGTAAGTCGAGGACAGGTCGGGCTGTTGTAGGTGACGGAGCAGCACCAAGATGAGGGACGGCGTCGAGGTCTGAGAACAGAGACGCCTCTTGTGGTGGTTTTTATCTCTGGCAGGCAGACAGACAAGAAGCGGCAGATGGTATTCAAGGCGGCGCAACGGACGAGGATGGGGGGGTTTTTTCTTTAAGAAGAAAGCAACAAAGGGCGGACAATGACACACACAACAACGACAAGAGGCGGAGTGACAAAAGGTGAAGAAAGGAAAACAAAAACCTGGAAACGGTGCCGAGCAGGGAGTGGCGCAAAGGGTTGGCAGGCTGACTGAATCACCTGCTGAGCGGCCGAATGCCAGGGAGGAGGAGAGAAGAGAACGGCGGACGAGGAGATCGTGAGGAGGGAAGAGAAGAAAGAAGAGGGTGTGTGAGCGGGGAGAAATGGTAAGATATAATACGGGCAAGAGGCGCGCGCGGTGGAGGTGGTCTGGTCTGGTGGCTCGGGTGCACTAGAGCGGCAGAAGAGGGCTCTACTAGCAGGTCGGTTCAGGCGCTGGGGGTCCCGCTGAGGGCGAGTGGCTAGCGGCGGTTGGCGGTTGCAGTTCAGGGCAGTCAGCGGCCGTCTTGGGTGGTGCTCGGGGGCTGTCTAAATACTACTACATACTACTACCACCTCCTCGTCCTTGTACTCGTACGGCAGCCCGAGCTCGACCACATGCATGGCCCTCGTAGCGGCACTAAGGTAGGCGGCCAAGCATGACTGCCTGCTGCATCTGCATCTGCATCTGTACCCGCTCGCTGGCGTTTTTCGGGGTGTTGGGGACCGGTATTTTCGTCTCGTCCTGCCAGCGTCGGGCGCTTTTTGCCCTCCCTCCCACACGCCCCCCCTCCCCCGAGTGAGGCGTGCGTCTTGTCCGGTCCTGTCCTGTCTTGTCTTGTCCTGTCCATCCTGGGCCGTGGCCATGGCCGTGGCCGGGTCTGGCCCTGGGTCCTGCCATAGTAGAGGGGCTTCGTCTACAGTAGTATGTACATACATACAGGCGCCAGAGCAGGGGAAAAAAGGGAAAAAGAGAAGCATCATGATGGGCCTTGGGCTTTGTCGTACTCGGACATGTACACCCTACTTCGTCCAGGCTGCGCGGCGGTATGACGCAGACGAGTAGGGAGTACTCCCCCCCAGAGACGCCCTCCCGCGTACTCCGAGGGCAGCAGGCAACGGGTTGGAGAAGTACCCAAGGTAATATTCCCATGTGCAATTTGGCTTTTGCATTTGACTTTGTACTACGCCTCTTGACCGGGTTGGTGTTGTGGCATGTCATTTTTGTGTTTGTCGAGTTACCTTGCCTTTGATGTCTCTGGACGTAATCTGTCATGTGTACGACGTGATCAATTAGTACATCTTACATTCCGGCAGCTCGGGAGCACAAAGTTGACCATCGAGCCTGGGTTTCATTCATGTCATTGTCAGTGCTTTGACTGCCCTCGACTAGAGAGGAGAGATAGCAGCGGCCGCCAACCGCTTCCTCAGATGGTAGAAACTGGGAACTGGATGCTGGGTAATACTGGATACCGCTCCGTACTGGCTACCTCTGAGTGGCACCGACGACGGGGCATTTTGCCTCGTACTCCATACCTCGAGGCACTCGGTGCTCCGACTCTGGAGTCCTGAGAGCCAGTAACCAGGCCGGGCCTGAGTCGTACTACTAGTAGTATCGTGACTCTAACGCTCCCTCAATATTAGTCGCAGTGCAACCTGTAAGTAGTAATACGACCTACATGGAGGAAGGCCGCCATACCTCTCCATATAGGACACTTGCACACAGATGACATGCTATCTTACTGACAGTGGTAAAGCAGTACATCAGCAGCAGCAGCAGCACGTAATTGCTCCGCATCCCCTCACTGCCTCTCTGCTGCTGTACAAGGACATCTACCACGTTGATACATCCCAACAGCCCAACAGGACCCCAAATCCAGCACAAAGCATTATCAAAACGAGTCAAGAATGAAATCAGGAAAGCACCCCAGGTCTGGGCTGTGTCTCCCTGGCAAAAAGGCAAAGCTAGAGCAGCTCCAACTTTCCGGCAACAGAAACAGAAAATAGGGGGGCGTGCGCATTGAAAGTCGGGAAGAGAGAGAGAGAGAGAGAAGCTCTCGAGTGGCCTGGCCAGAAGGAGGAGGGGCGTGTACAGCCACAGCTTGCCCGAAACGGGTAGTCCTGCAGGCGCCGGTGGAGCTGAAAGACCTGCAGCATCCGCGCCACACACCGTCTGCTTTCTTTTTTCCTGTTCTGTTTTTTTTTTTCCCTCCCTTGCTGTTTCTTGCTCTGCACCTTTCTTTTCCTGGTTTCTTTTGCTTGGTTTTCCCGTGAGGTACCGCGACTTTCAAAGGACAAGAGGGACATGACAAGGTAGGTATGTACCTGGTAACTCGTGTGGCGCGTGTCGCAACAGCGGCCGGTTCTTTTCTTTTTTTTTCTTGCGTGGCCATCAGGCGCCCAGCCGTCACCGACGCTTTCGTACGATTTTTGCACTGGGCTTTGTCTACCTAGCGAGTGATTTCTCTCCCTTTTTTCCGTCATGACCTCATCGCCATTGTTTCCTGAGGGAAACGTGACTCGAAAACAAAGTCCCTTGTTGCCTAAGAGGGTACGTTAGTCTCGTCGATGAGCAGCACCCAAGCAGCACAGAGCATGCACATCTACATCATTGGTGCCCGGACATGATATCACGAGATCAGCCCGTCCCTCAACAGGGCAGGGTCCAGTCTCAGTAGGCGCTTGGCGCTGTGAGCGAAATATCTGCCCACGGCAACGACGTAGACACTGCGGAATAATGGACTGTGCATACCTACTCGTACTCGTACGAGGGATGTGGGCATGGTCATGGGCATGGTCATGGGCGTGGGTTTCGACGCTGGTGGGTAGCAGTCGTAGTGTTACCTGCTAGTGGCAGCATATCGCTGCCAACTTACAGGACACCTAGTGAATGATACCTTATAACGACTATGAGGTGCGGCGTGGGAGCCCGTATATGTGCACGCGAGAGGCAGTCATAGTCTATGTAGCCAACAACGCATGGAGGATAGATAGGTGCCACACCGTCGTGGTGGGCAACCAGGTCGTCCGACCCAGGACATGTGCCCTCTTCCTCCTCGATAAGGGGAATGACAAGAAGGGAAAGGGAAACATAAGAGTGCCGTAAGTGACTGATCGACCGTCTACCGCCACCTGGCTTGCCGGGCACTTGTGGAATGGCACTTCGCTACGCTGCTAAGGCGCCATCTCCTCGTATAGTAGTCTTGTTGCGTGAAGCAGCTTCGTGCGGCCCATTTTGTTGTATCGCATCTTGATATATGACACCTCGTGTCTCAAGAAGAGAGTAAAAGGGCCGGAGATGGAGAGAGGGGAGATAACCGTCCAGTCTCTTTGAATCTGTCAAAGTAGCGCGTTTTGCATGCAAAGCTTTGCCTGCTAGGCAGCTCGCTTCGCTACCCATCGCTCATACCAAGAGTTCATGTAGCAGACTGACTCTCCAAGCTCATGCTATCGTCGAGCATGTGCGCCATGTACATATTCGCACCTCTTCTTGCTCCACATCTAAAAAGTGAGGGGAAAGGCCAGACTCCCGAGTCCAGCCTTCGCGAAGCAACAGTTACCTGCAAATAAACCCACGGCAACGGAGCCGCTATTGCTTGACATCCCGAAGCGAGGATGGGTGCGCCGCTTATGCAGGATGGGGTGACCCCCCCGTGCGTGCCTCCGCTTACAGGATTTGCTTCTGAACAATATCGACGATGGAGGAGTAGAGAAACTAGACGGGTGATAATGTTGCCAGTACCCGCCGCCGGCTCGGCCCCCTCCAGAGTCATCTTACCAGACTCCTAGCTCGGCTTGGGTTATGGAGGGGCAAGTGGTCAGCGTACTGTAGCTAGCAACGAGCTGAAACCCGACGAGATATGCGAGTCGAGTGGGAGAAATTACCATCGACCGTCTCATCTCGTCGTCTGGTCAATGAGATGCAGAAGAAACCCTTGTTTACGCTGCATCTGCTGTAATGACCTGCAGGCCCAACGCCGCGCCATGCGCCGGCCGCAACCAACCTGGGTGTGAGCGAGGATACGGGTCTGCTCACGGAAAAAAAGAGACCACACAAGAGACATGGCTCTTTTCCACCCAGTTCTTTCGATTTTCTCCTCCACTTCCACAGTGCAAGCTCGAGATGTGCGGACATGGCGGGTGGCATGTGCCGCCGGCCGAGCCATACCAGTTGCAGTCTGCCCTCGCTTCCGTTTGGTTTGGAAGCGTACTGTGGATCGTGGAGAAGAGACGAGGCAGTCGTACGAGTCGTCGAGGACGTGTAGGCGCCGTAGCTCGAGCATTGGCCGCGTCCCCGCACTCCAAAGCGTCTCTATGGGATCGCCCTTGATCCTTCCTTTGCCGACGAGGGATTTTGATAAGCCTTGGGGTCTCGTGGATATCCCTTCGCTTCGAGTGCTCCGCATCCGGCGGCACCAGGCTCTGCTAATCGCACTGATTGCTTGGTGAGCTGCCAGGAGAAACAGAGCCTTTGATGAGGATGGAGACCGTCTAGGGAGGGGCCGTCGTCCGTCTCCGTTAGACCCGGGTGTTTCCCCTGGGTGGGAAGGCAAGCTGAAGCATTGAGACCATCCTGATCGCTGCAGACATGTAAGTCCTGGGCAATGGTTGGACAATGGCTCATGAGTCCGTCCCAAGGGGCCCCCGGAGCGTCCCGAGACGGCGGGACATTGCCAGGAGCCCAGCACCTCAAAAGACCCTCCTGAAGGGGTTCCCCTGGATGCTCACAGCTGCCAGACAGAGAGTTGACAGTGTGCGCATCTTCACGGCCAGGAGCGTTGCCTCCATGCAGACGGTGTTAGTGGCTTCGGCGAGCTGAGGTGTGTCGGTTGAAAAGTGCCCCCTACGGCGTCTGATTGGCCGGAGACCTTGGAGGCCAGTGGTTGCAAGGGTGGAGTAGCCGAAAGAGGTCGATGAGACTGAGCCTAATTGGCTCTGCCAACATGGCATCTGGCCAATCACAGCGGACGGCCTGACCTTCGCAGAAACTGTACAAGCGATGTCGAAAGCACAGAGCTTTACAGTGAACGGGAGTTGGTCAAGCCGACTGGCAAGCCCTCTTTTCGTGTGTTTCGTCGTCCCCTCTCTTGGTCTGTGGTCCGTTATGTCTGCGGAGATTGATAAGTGACAAAGCTTCTCCTAAACGGTTCTTCTGCTTACACTGCGCGGCACTCGAGCCCTGCCGCGTCCGTATCCACTGATGCTTCTGCTACACTCTCTCATCTCTCTCTCCGTCTGACTGTCTGTCGCGTCTGCCTCTCACATGGCGAAAAGGGAGGGTTTCCGGCTATCCGCCAGCAGGGAGGTGGCGGCTCGTGCTGTGGCAGCTGGGGCCCTGCAGCGTCTGCATATCTGTGACTGGCTCCCGAATCGACTTTGCTCGATTCCGAGGATGAAGGATGGAGAATGGAGATGGAGAATGGGGGCCATCAAGTGTGGCCACTGCTGCGACGCGGGGGTCTGATGCATCTGGCCTGTCCTGTCGGTCCGCTTATGCTTGCAAAGACGGCGCGGTCATCCTGAATCCAGCGCGCTGCCATGATCAGATTGCAGCGAGTGCCCGTAGATGGCCGGCCAAAAGCTTACCACCCAGCTGCGACGCGTCTCACGGGCTATGCTGTCGTCTCGTCGTCTGATTCTGGCGTCGGTGGGCATGTGGATGGACATGTGGATGGACGAGTCTGACCACGGCGGTCGTGGCTGGAATACGAATGAGTGCCGCGCAAGCCACCGGCGGGGCTTAGGCGACGAGGTACCGGTACTTGGCGCGCTTGGCCGGTACATTCCAGGTTGTGGCTGGCGGAGTCGCATCGGCAGCCATCGGCCACTTTCCTCGAGACGGACACTTCATGCTACAAATCAGGTATTACTTTCATACCTACGTACCTACCTAGGTAGAATAAGATACCAGGTATCTAATGTAGGTGCCGATTGCTTCCAGATCTACTACCTGTTGCCAATACAGTGTTGTTACCTGTGCCCGCTGTAATACGTACCGACGTTAATCATACGAGCTTTTGGGTGTGCTCGTATAAGGCTGAGGTCACTGAGGAATTGGCGAGTGCACTATTAAGCCGGGCAAAAGCAATCATCGTCAGGTAGATACCTAACACTACCTACAACACGATACAGGGCTCGAGAAACGAAAGAAGAGCTTGGAATTTTCACCGTAACGAGTGAGCTAGAGATAGGTACGCACGAGTACATACTATCTCAGGTAGAAACTGCCATCAACGGCATTGAGGTTGCCATAAATAGCTGTAGGTCATGCCCAGAGGTGGTTAGCAGCTGCCCTGGAGGTTGATACTGTATCTGGGCAGGTACCTCCGTAATCGCGTGGATGATCTCTGGTGTTAGTGTGTGCGTGCCTCGCTCCTTCTCTTGGCCACACTCACCCTAGAATCAACGACGCCGAAAGAAAAATTTGTTTCTTTCTCCCGTTGCTTGCCGCCTCAAGATGATCCAACGACAGGGACACGTCACTTGAGGCAACCAAGGCCCTGATGTAGGCCTGCTTTGCAGAGAGTAGCCTCATCAGAGGGCCTACTGTGAGGCCACGACGTCCTCGGAGGCGGTTGATTATCTGGCCGCAGGTGACGAAGCTCACCTCTACACGGCCAAAAAACAAAAAAAATTCAGTCGAACCCCGATCGTCCAATTGAGGCAAGGCTCGAGAGACCTTGCACTCCGAGGGAGTGTGCTGCGGACGCCCCTCCAAAGACGAGAGTAACAGACGCGGCGCATATCGGACAGAAGAAGCGCCTGCGGCCTTGGCCATGAGGATGCCTTCAACATACTGACCTTGGCTGTGCAGGCATTCGACACATAAGGTGCCGTACGAGGTATGCATGTCCTCCGTACTGGGCACCCAATGGGCTAGTCCGCGCCTCGACGCCTCAACGAGGCAACGGCAGCATTGGGATTCGCACGGCGACAATGGCCGAAACAGCAAAGCGGCTACGTAGCGAGGCTGGCGCATCAAGCTGGCCTGGCCACCTACAACCACCTAGCCATCATAGACGTGGCCACCGCCAAAGACCTGTTCACGAGCCTTGCCGTGCCCAACGTTTTCTCTTCGTTGTCGTCCTCGTCGCCTTCAAACCCTCGCGGGCTGCCTCTGGATTGGAGCATCAGTGGCAAATGCAGGCTCCTCACCGATGCATTAGCCAAACCCCACGACCGAAAAGGAGGAGGACCTTGGGATCCTAACCAGCAGGGCCGGCCAGGTCGTCCACGATGACAGCACGCGCCTCAACAAATGCCTGGTGCCAGCACCTAGCAAACAATGAGCCTGCCGGCGAAGGTTTATGCAGGGCGCCTCCTGGGGCGGATAGCCGAGAACCACAGCATTGGAGAAATCTGGCCCTGGAGCCCGTCCCCGGAGACTCTTGGTGGACCCCACGCCAGCAACGGGTCGCTCACCGATCGACAAGAGCCAGCGACTCGGATACGCCTCGTGCTCGTATCCAGAGCATGGACAGATGTCCATTGGCAGGATTCTTCAAGTGCACACATTCATATTCGTACGCTGGCAATCTGGGTAAGTGTGGCTGGTGACGAGGCCCAATGATCTAGGACCTCCAAGTACATGCGTATCTACCGCCAAGGTTCTGTCCGCGAAGGAATTAATCCTTTTGCATAGGAAAGGATTTCTCCTGTGCTACCGGCCCTTGGGAACCGAGGTGCGCATCCCGTCCTTGCAGATCAGGTCACTTTTGGCCTCACGGTTCCTAACAGTACGCGGTACAGGTACGATTCCATCACGACGTGACGCCGTCCCTTCCGCGGTCCGAAGCACGGGTCTATTGATTGTACCATCGTCTGCATGCAGCTATCCGGCCAGACAAGACGGGCATCTCGCAACAAGCACGACCAGACGCCACCCCCCGTCGCCACCGGCCCTGCAAAACCCTTGGACAGCTGAACGAGCTGCATCGATGCCTCCTGACTACGTCCTCGACTACTGCACGACCGTGTCCATGGCGCCCCCTTGACGTCTTTCTGCAGCTCGGGCTCGGTGCAAGCTCTGCACGGATGCTGCTTGATGCCCTGCCCTGCCCCTCGGTGTGACCGCCATCAACAACGTGGCGCGGCAGACTCAACGACCATCATCGGCTCGTGGCTGTGTCTGCCTTGCGAACTGTGGCTAACCCCACACAGATCTGCCAGCTGTCCCGTCCTCTGTCCTGGCGGTGCTTATGTAACGCCTCGATTCCCGCACGGGAGGCAACCAAGCGGAACCGCGTCCGGAGGTACCGTCCCACCTCTATTGATGCTACTGGTGACTTCGTTGCGAGTCAACTCGACAAGACGACTTCTCCCAAGTCGCCTCCTATCCTCCTATGTGATATGTAGCCACCTCGTTGGCACAAGCACAGGGGATACGGAAACATGAGAGAGAACAGACAACGGTTACGGAATTTTATCCCGACGTCGATACCTAACGAGCCAGGGTCAAACGTTTACCCCTTCTAGGCGGCGTCTAAAAAAAATTATTGATGCCCCATGCTGATTATACCCTTGGCATCAATGACGTCGTTGCCGCTTGTCGGAGCAAACTGCGAGGCCGTCCATCATCGTGCCATGTTCTGACATGGGTGATTTGGCTCTCCTCTGTCTCGCTGCCGTCATCCCGGCCCAGCAATCACAGAGCCAGGGCCCAAGCGGGAAAGATGTCTTGGATCGTTACACGATGCCTGGTATGAGCACAGAAGGGAAGCGATGCTCGATGCTCTTGTGACCGCCGGGTCATGTGGACAGATGTCTGTAGCAGGTCTCCTACCTTATCTGCGCATGGATGGATGGTGGAATATGCCGAGCGGTGCCCGAGGAACAAGCATATGCCTGGCAACGGCAGCAGCTGCATCTTGGCCTTTGACTCATTCATGCCCAAGTACGAGCATGGCATGGCACGACATGGCGCGGGACGGCATGGCACGGCATGGCATGTCAGAGCGGAACGCTTTGGTGTTGTGCTGTTGGGCAAAGGGACACGCCGAAGCATGGCCTCAACAAGGACGACATCATCAGGTCTCTCCCTGGAAGCAAGGCGACACTGTTTGAGTGGCTTTCCATTCTTCGTCTAGCAAGGCGAGCTATCAATTCTGGGCCTTCCCCGAATCCTTTCCTTATGCGTCTCCGGCCACCGAAAGCGCTTGAACCTCGTTCCTCATAGGTTGAAAAGGTGAAACAGCAATGCTTCCATCCAATGGCCCCTGCTTCTATACTCTCCGTGCGGACACAGACCTATTCCATATCCATCCAATGAGCCTCCCAGGTCAAGGGGTGAGGTTGCTCGTCCATCGTTCCCCTACAGCTCCCTAGAGACACCCCGTGATATCCAGTCTGCAATGGCCATGACGGTCACCATAGGGTTGACGCCGCTCGCGCTCGGGAACACGCTACTGTCCGCAACATACAGGTTGCTCGTGCCCCAGACGCTTCCCCTCTCGTCCACCACGCCAGCCTCCCTGGTGGCGCTCATTCTGCACGTTCCCATCTGGTGCGCCGAGCCAAAGGACGTCAGAGGCGGCTTGTTGCCCATGGTGCGAAGTTGCTGCAGCCACTTGGCAAAGGCAGGGTCTGTGAACTCGGGGTCTTTGTCTTGGACGTGCTTCTCTTGCTCCGCGGCATTGGGCAGGAACGGCGGCACGCCGGGGTAATGCACTCGCATCTCTGTTGCGCCGCTAACGTAGGCGACCTTGGCGAGGCCAATGATACCCTCGAGATTGTTCTCGCGGTCGAAATCAGAAGTGGTGTAGTCGATACGCGGGCCCCCAGTCTCAGGGTCGACAAATACCCGGCCGGAGTCTCGATCGCGGGCCAGCGAGATGAAAGAGCTAGAGTAGTGGTATTTCATGGTGGTGAGCTTGGCATCAAGGCCTCCGGTCCAACCTTGCAACGAGAAGGCAATGTAAGGCTAGGAAGAAGTCGCAAGGAGTTGAGTCAGCGGAGATTGCCGTCTCTCTGAGAACAAGGGAGTCCCATGAAAGCAAGCCTTGGTCAACTCACCACCATGCATAACGCCTCCAGCTTTGCCCCGTGTCCTTTGCCATCGAGATTCTCAAACTCGCCGCTCCAGCTTGTGATGATGCTGCCTTCCCAGGGCCGAGTCTGTTGTCGGTGAACTGCCATCAAGCAGTTGACTGGATGTAGATGGAGGTTCTGTCCAATTTGCGGATTCTAAATTACGGGTTAATGTTCATGTCAGCGAGCGTGCCCTCCATATGATCCTCCACTGACGAGCCATAGTTGGATGAAGGGGGACGGGAGGAGTGAGCGTCGCATGACAAATGAGGACCAGGCATCAGAATGCATTCACTTACTTGGATGCCGCTCTTCAACAGTATGACGGGACTCCAGAAGCTTCCAGCGCACACAATGACCTTCTTGGCCCTGATGATTACGTTGCGCTGCGTCCGTTCGGCGACGTCCTTGTCAAGACCGCCCTCGGCATCTCTCGAGAGCCACGTCCCCTGAACGCCTGTTGCCGTCGTACCGTCGCTGTCAAACAGCACCCTTTCAACGCTGAGGCCCTCCATGAACTCGGCCCCGGCAGCGGCCGCGGCTGGCAGCCAGCTCACCGTGGGCCCTCTCTTGATTCCCGATCCGCAGCCGAGATGGCAGTGACCGCAGTCGTGGTTCTTGTTGGCCGTGTTCTGGGCGGCGATGCCTGCGTGCCAGCCCAGCTTCTTGCACCCATCAAACAGCACGCCGTTGCGAAAGTTGTGTCGGACAGCCTCGGTTCCGGCGCCGATGTACTCCCAGACGCGGTCGACGCACTCGTCAAAGTCGCGCGACGTGAAGAGCGGGAGTCCCTCGTCGGCCCATTCCTGGCGAACGAAGTCCTGCAGCTTGAAGCACACGCTCCAGTTGATGGTGCCGCCGCCGCCCCAGCAGCTGCCGGAAGTGAGGGCGGTGCTCGCGTCTTCGCTGACGTAGGCGCCGCCGCCGTTGTCGAACAGGTAATTGAGCGCGGCGTCTTGAGGCATGGGGAGGGACGAAGGGGGGAAGTGGTATCCCTTGTCGACGACGAGGACCTTGTGCCCTGCCTCGGCCAAGTTCTTTGCGCAGACAGCGCCCCCAGGCCCAGAACCGACGATGACGACGTCGGTGGTGAGATCGTGGACGTCGTTCCCAGGCGGCAGCTTAATGAATTTGAAATCGAATCCTTGGACGGGCTTCCAGTCCTTGGGCACGTCGGAGTATCCCGAGAGCTTCTTGTAGTAGGGGCTCGTTGTGCCGTTGGCCTTATTAGCCAGGGTGGCGAGGGATTTGGCGAGCCCCCTGAGCGTTGCGAGCCTCGAAGTTGTCCAGGACTTTACGATGGCCTCGCGCACGCTGGCGGGCTGCTGGGTGATGGGGCTCCAGTAACCCGTCAACAAGAGGCTTCCCGTGCGTGTACTGCGCAAGGACAGGGTTAGAACTGATGATGCTTTGTTTTCTTTGCCTTGCAGTCAGACTACATGCGTCGAGACTCACCCCAGCGACCCGAGCACCTTTGCAAGCTTGGCCTTTGCCGGCGATGCGGCCAGACTGCGCAGGCAGTCGACTCGAAACGACGCTTGCTCCGCCGGTCGATAGGCGAGATACTCGGCAATGAGCTCCTTGCTCGGAGGATTCTCGAAAGAGTTGGTGATGCTTTCGACGAGGCGGTCGAACTCGGCATCTGGTATGGGAATCTGCGTCTCCTTGTCCGTGACAGCAGAGGCCCTGACGTAGGATGGCAGGATGCCGTCCAGGAGGGCCCAGAGCATGTCCCATTGGTCTTGAGACATGAAGTCGCTGGAAGGAGGAGGAGGGAGGGGGACTGCCTCTGGGGCTTGGAGAGGAGAAGCCGCCATGGCTGGCGATGATGATGATGCTGAGCTTGATGAAGACGAGTGTGCTGACGTTCCTGTGATGGCTGATACCGGTGTCTGAAGAGGAAACAAGACTGCTCTCTCGCTGCTTCAGCGGCAATGGGACACTTGCCGAGTCTAGCTGCGTGCCTATCATCTCGTCAGTATTCAGTCTCTCTGTGGACTCGAGGCCATTTTATCACAATGGATTGTGACAGCATCACGGCAGATTGGAGACGGGCGTCGTACAAAGGTGAGATTTGACAGCAAACAAACAGGTTCCTGGATCGTTTGGCACCCAAGTCGTCGTGTTACCCCGGCAAAAGGCAGGGTCATTTGATGTCGCGAATGTTTTTTTTTTAAACAGGTCTTTGCTGTCTCGATCGCGTCCTTCGGGTTGGGAACGCTATCCCGTTTGAGATGCCGGACCTTGATGCTGCTTCGTCGCCAATGTACCCGGGGAGTCTTATATTAGAGGGAGGGTAGGTATTCACAGCGACATGGCAAAAGCGTACCAGACGGCGAGTAAGTGAGTGAGTGAGTGAGTGATTGAGTGAGATATCGCCTGCTCACAACAACGGGCTCAAATCGCGAGGCGACAAAGGCCAACGAACGGCGGTGACTCAGCCAAGGAACAAGACGAAAACGAGTATTGAAAATCAAGTCCGCTAAATGGAGATTTCAAGGCTGCAGGCCAAAAAAAGACGAGACTCGGGTGTAGGTACATATATAGACTACTTGAAGAAAAAGGAAAAAAAAGGAAGGGGAAAAACAAAAGGTACAATGGTAGGTAGGAATTTGATAAAAAACCAACGTCGGGAGCATATTAGGCCAACGGGACCGGCGCAAACGGGAATCTGCGGCTATTTATTTATTTATTTACTTGCAAGTATGTTTATTTATCGTTGCTTGTCCTTTAGTATATGTAGTGGCATTAAAAGTCAAGACCAGGAATTTAATTATCCAAGCTTAAAGTAATCCCCCGGCCTTTCTATAGTATTCTCAGCTGCAATGACAATCAGGACTGTTTATCAAAGCCATGAAATTTTTTTTGCATACCTAGCTGCCATAGACATCCTCAAAGTGCCTAGAGAGTATGCATCAACGTTCAAACAAAACACCGTCAAATGTCTTCCGAGGCGTCATCACCTTTTCTCAAATGGACACTATCAAAAAAAATAATCCTCGTCTATAATCCTTCTAATACTAAAAGAAAAACAAAATACAAGCAACATATCACCAAAAGGTGCTAGTAGTCGACGCAAATCCAAGTCCAAATGCGGGGTCACACACACACGCGCGCATATCCAAGGATGCTTTCCTACGGATAGTGATGACTCCTCAAACCACAACAACAAGCTAATGCAACTCAAACTCGAAACAGAGGGCTTTAGTCGGCCTTCGGACCCGTCCTAGACTCCTAGCTGCATCCCCGGCTTCAGCTCCCCTGACGTGCTAACAATCGGCAGCGTGAATCATACCTCGGCTCACGCACATCGGCGGAGGACCGACCATCCTCGTCGCCTCCGTGAGGTGACGCTGCATGTGCCTAGAAGCTGACTCTTTTTCTCTCTGAGACGTCTTTTGTGTTCGGCTTATCACGTACTGCCATATAGATCCATCATGACGACAAGGTAGATGCAATAAAAGAACATGTTCAAATCTATTTCAATGACTTGCCCGATATACAGGGACATGAACAACATGCCTCCCGGCCGGACGGCATCGGCAACCAGGCAGTCATACAAGACAAGGAGCACATTCGCCATTCTTTAGCTCTTGAGTCCGTCACTAGGAATCAGCTTCAGATGCCCGCTCTTTGCCGGGGTAAACCTGTATTCAACTCGGGGCTATGCACCAGACACAATGGCTGCCTGCCCATGAGCTCACCCACTTTCACCCTTCTCGAACCTTGCAGCCTTTCTCTAGAGTCCAATGCAGCCAGCCGTTATAACGCCCTCTCCAGTTGTCGGATTCCTCCTCGCCTGTTCATACATGTCTCGATACACCATAGCAAGCCCTGAAACCCAGATAGAAGAGAAGAAGAGGGAAGAAAAATTGGGAGAAAGGAAAAAAAGAAATAAGAGAGGATGGATACCAAGAAAGAGAAAGGTAGTGAGTGAGTGTGATTGTGTGTGACACAGGAAAATGAAAGAGTGATGGAGTGTCAATAGCCGCGACATCCTGGCCAAAGTGGCCCAATCCCAAGGGTATATACTTATCGCCGTTCCCCTCCGTCCCAAGTATATAGAATGTGGTAGGTATACAGGTATATGTATGAAGAGTTGTTTGTTTCCGTCCAGAATCTGAAACCCGAAATGTGTGGCGTTTGTGTGTTTTGTGCTTTTTCCTTTTACTTTTTTTTGCAATTGCTGTTTCTCTCATTTGGTCTTGTCCAGGGCCCCCGAATCCCCGACGAACCCGTCCGGAAGGCATCGCAGCGCAGCATCAAAGTGGCAGACAGATATAGCCGGCTCAGCTTCGTAAGACCCAACGCCATGAACCAACCGAATGACTTTTTCCCGCGATCCGTGATAAACAAAGGCACATCATAACATGGCCGTAGCCCCCGTAAAGGGCTATATTCGCACAATCGCAATCGTAAAATCATGGGGCCATAATCGTAGCCGTGTCGCAGTGGTTTCATTCCGCGTGGCAGTAGTAAATGTCGCTTCTTCGCTCGCAAGCAGGCGCTTCTGTGTCGGGAGTCCATTCGTGGCTTATTGTTCTACTTCGGTTTCGTGTAGCTTGGGCCCTTCAGCCCGAGGTATCAGCAGTCGGGAATGGAGGACTTGATCCCTTGCTCCTCTTAAAGAAGGGAAAGTCTATCATTCGGAATCTGCTCGGCCGTTTCTTAAGTGCCTTGCCTTCGGCTCGGCCAATGCTACCGCCAAACGGCGACGAATCGTCGTCTCCATGCGGCACATCTCGGTCTCGTTCGCGCTCGCGGTCCCGCTCTCGACGCGGCGACGTCGGAGACCCCTTAAGGCTGAGAGGCGACATGTTGAACGCGGGGACGCTGAGGGTCCGCTCTCCCGACTCGTTGCTGACAATGCTGGTGCCCTGCGTGCTGGGTGACAGCGTCATCTTGCCCGTGGCCACGCTCGCAGCTTGTGAGCCCCAGTCGGCGGGGAAGCCAGCGGATAAGCTGCCTTCGGTCGTCTCGCTCGTCCGGTGTTTTGACGGGGCCAGCTTGCCCTCCATCGGGTCGTCTGGTCGATGGCAGGTGAACGGATCACCGTCTGTCACGTCTCTGACGGCGTCGAATGAAGAAGGCACTCCAAAGGCCATGCCGTTGACATCTGGGTGCTGCTCCACGGGAGTGTGAGGATCGTGGCCGGACTTGGCTGTGGACGGACTCGGTGCGGGTGAAATCTCGAGCTTCAGCTCGCTGTCGTTTTCGACTGGGAAGCTCCTCGTTCGCCGGTGCTGTTCGGTCGGGCCAGCCGGTTCCGGCTCCCTGGCCTGTTCCTCCTGCACCTTGGTTTCAAAGATCTTCTTGTTAATGTGAAGCTCCTTGACGGTGTATTCCATGGCCGGCATTATTTCAGCCACGCCTTGGAACAGCGGAATGGCAAACATGTTCATGAAGCCGAGCTGGGCGTTTGACAGGGAAAGAATGTCCTTCTTCGGAGGCGCCATGAGGGACGACGGAATTTCAAGCTCGTCTTCCATCGAGGCTTGTCTCGAAAACTCCTCCGAGAGCATATGCATCCACTTTAACGCTGTCGAATGACGACGTGCCTGTCAACGGGTCAGTATCGCCCACTTATACTTCGGCGCTGGAATAAAAAAAAATAATAATACAGAGGAAGAGAAAGGAAAAGAAAGAAAAGAGGAGGGAGTAGAGGAGGGACAAAGTATCCTCTATCCTGCACATTCCACATGTCATGCAACACATACCACGTTGCTAATGTCTGCGCACTTGATAAGGAGCGAGCACACGAGAACCTTGGCATCTTCCAACTGACGCCCATTCCACTTGGCAGGGTTGCCGTCGGCCTCAAAGCTCTTCTTGAGCGCCGCCAGCTTCTTCATGTAGTCGAAATGGAGGCCCATGTCCGTCGCCAAGATGGAGCTAATCATCAAGCCGCGCATCTTGCGATCTTCAAAGACTGCGGGCCAATACCTGCGGAGGATCTGCGAGAAGGCGGCGCAATGGAAGGACTCTAGGACAGATCGGTCATTGTACAGCTGCGCTAGCGGGGCGTTGAGCGTGGTGAGGAAGCCATTGTTGACGCCCGGATGGCCGACGTCATGGCCAATGGCCGTGACGAGGAGGGTCAATGCCTCGTAGGAGGTGACGATGGAGGCGATGGGCGACCTGTGCACCTTGTGCCTCGGTTGCGACCAGGTCGGGTACGGGGGGAACGAGCCAATGTGGACGAGGAAATTGAACGTCGCCTGGAGGACGTCCACCACGTGGCGGAAGTTGTGGTAGGGCACAAAGCTGTTGTATGCAGCACGGCATGCGACCAGGAAGCTAATGAGTTGGTCTGAGATCATTGGTCAGATTCGACTCCGGCGGCTGAGCGGATGCAGGCATCTTTCAGGGGAGGGGGAGGGGGGTTGCTTATTGTCTTAGCACCGCATGGGGTGGACAAAGACGGGCACGCTGCAGCAGACTTACCTGTGGGTATCCGCCACCTCGCGAGGTCTGGCGAAGTCAGGGCATGCTTGAACATTTGCAGCGCAGCCACCAGCAGCTCGTCGTCGGAGAATTCGTGGGCATCAAAGTGCCAGCGGCCGACGGCCTCGGCGATGACGGCTTGGCGCTCAGACGAAACGGCAATGTGCGCGCTGGCGATCTGGTCATCCTCGGGAGACAGGCGGCAGATTCCGTTCATGAGGCCCGAGACCATGGCCTCGCGGAGGTAGGCAAAGGGCTTCTGCTCATTGACGCCGACCCAGGATCGCTTCCGGCCCTTTGTAATCTCCATCATGGCCTGCTGGTCGCGGGCAGCGTCCCGATGGGCCTTATAAGCGCATATCTCGAGTGTCGCGATGCACTTGGGGCCCA